GAAGGAAGGATATAATTTGTGGACTCAATCACAGTATCCAGTGTATTTCAATCAGAATTTAAAGACACAAACGCTCCCAGAAAACCAACTAATCTGGTTTATCTCACCTATTCAATGTCAAACACAGGATTTAAACACTTGAAAACAAAACACCAAATTAATCTATTAAAGTCATATTCAAATTGCTGTGTTGGTCGTCTTGAGCTCACCTGCTGTCGATGGAGATGGAGAGGCTTTTGGACAGAGGAGCGACCGTCTCTCTTTTCTCTCTGGTCATCGCCGGCAGAGAAGACGATGAGGAGGAAGAAGAAGAAAAAATGGACGCCGGAGAGTCTTTCATAGAGTCTGGAGGAAAAATCAGAGGGGAAGAGTTATCATTCATACCTTGGAGGTTTTCCCGCTTCACAAATAAACACTTGAGGTGTTTTGTTTAGTGTCGGGATGCTTTGTTTGTATCCGTGTAATCATCGACTCCAACGGTAACGGGATCAGGAAGCTGCACTTGTAATCGTTTGTTGTTTAAGTGGGCATGAAGCCTGCAGCTGTGATGTAGTAACTGGAGGTGATTATGACTGACCTTTACATTTTTTGCCAGATATCAAACATTCAGAAGACAGAGAGCTTTACAACAGGAAATAAAATAATCCTGTTCACGCAGCAGAAACATTCAGCCCCTGTAGTCATGCACCAACACATAAACACAATCCAGGCCAGGTCCCCCACTGAGGAAGATTAAAATTTAACCTTTTTTTTTTTTTCTCTAACCGGGGAGAGAATACCAGGGAGAGGCAATGGCTTACTTAATCCACTAGAGGACAAACAAGGGAGGACAGGTGAAACCTAAATGAATCAAAGGCTGAGGGAGGACACCGGCGGAGAGGGGGAGGAGGAGGACTCACTCTGTGGGAGGGACAAGGTCTTGCTCTTCATCAGCAGTGCATTCCTGTCCTGAGGCTTCTGGGGGGAGAAATAATCATATTAACATGAGCAGCTGTAAATCCTTGTCCTATAAATAACAAGACGCCGTGGCTGTAGCACAACATAGTCAATACTGGAGTCAATTTACGACTACATAGATAACATTAAAACTAAAAAGACAAATCTGCCCTCGGATATGGTGCACCGCTAGTTTGTGATGTTCAACACATTCCAGGCGTTCCTTTGTCACCGCGTGTTGGAGTTTTCCTATTTCCTCTGAACCTGCCTCTACTTCAGTAGCTGATTATTTATGCATTTTTTGGGGCATTTTGCTGTTATTGAAAGCACAGTGTGGGGCAGCTGTGGCTCAGGCGGGTTGTCCTCCAATTCCAAGGTTCGACCCTCCACAGTCGAATGGGCAAGACGCTGAACCTGAAGTTGCTCCCAATGGCAGGCAGCACCTTGCATGGCAGCTCTGTCGCCGTTGGTGTGTGAATGTGTGAATGAGAAACACACTGTAAAGCGCTTTGGGTCTGTTCGACAGCAGACAAAGGGAATGACCAGCAACAAAAGGTGGATTTGTTCTGGGCAGCCACACACATGTCTCTGGCTGATCGACTGTCAGCGAACCCGTGAGGTTACGTTACGACAACTTGATCCAGAACATTGAGTGGAAAGTTTGATTTACTGAAATATTGGCTATATTGTAGTCACAACTTCAGAGTGACAGATTTTTAGCTCAGAAAGTGTTAAATGTGTATTGTAAGGCAGGTTTTTGGGCCCATGGTAGTGCTGTGCAGCAATGTGTCTCCATTCTGTTCATATAATTCATAAGCACAAGGACACGTGTGAATCCACAGCAGGTGGTTTGACACAATTCAACTTATCGACAGTTGGTGGTGCAAAAAAGTAGTAAATGATGCATGTTTTAAATATTCACAGAATTGGCTTAGAGAATTTTTCTTTTTTGGCCTTTGTTGGATAGTATTAGTGAGAGAGAGACAGGAAAGTGGGGAGAAGACATGTGGGAAAGGGTCATGAGCGGGATTTGAACTCATGACCTCCACATTGGGACTGTAGCCCTACACATAGGACGCCAGCTCAACCAGGTGAGATATAGCAGCGCCCGTAGAGAATGTTTTTTAAGGGAGGAAGGGCACCATGTTTGTCTGTTTGACCATCAAGGACAAAGCAAAGATATTTTGGTGAGAATCTTGAAAATGATGACGCCTCGTTTACAAGGAAACGCCACGGGGCACCTTTAATTCTGTTCAAGCAGTAAAGTTGTACTGAAGTGATGCAGCATCGTTCCCCCAAAGATGTAGAGAAGCTCAAGAGTTGAGCAGCAGAAGCCAAGACATTCTGACTTTAAACTCCTATCATAGATTCAATTCCAGTTGAGCTGCATTTCCCATAATATCATCAGTAATATTGTTTTAGCTCCTTTCTGTGACATCTTTACAGTTTATTTATACAATCTACTAACACCATGAGGTAAGGAACTATTGGGCCAGCTGCCACTTTAATGGTGGAAAAACACTTTGTCTCTGAGAAATTGTTTGACTCATGAAATCATACAACATTAAAAAGGAAGCATGTACACGATCCTTTCTGCCAGACGTCTTAAAATGACGCCACGTTGTTTGTATCTGCGCTGCTAACTATGAACAGAATTAAAGAGCCCTTATTGTGCATATTTATAGGTTTATAATTTGACTTCTGGGATCTACTAGAATATGTTGACATGTTTTAATGTGCAAGAAACACATTATTTTTCTCACACAGCATCTCTTTCCTCACTGTCTGTCTGAAACGCTCCATTTTAGCGACTGTTCCTTTAAGTCCCCCCACTCGAAAACCTTAGTCTCCTCTGATTGGTCAGGTAGCTGGAAAAAGTACGTAAAGTAACCCCAGATGTACGAGGGCAGGAACAGAGGGGGAAATAATGGCAGGAAACGGCTGATTCTTTGTTCGATGGCGTGCTGAACTCGCTGCCAGGTGGGCGTTATGCAAATTACACGTGGTGATGTAGATAGGTAATGGAAGAAAAAACTTCAAACGGGGCATTTAAGCAGCTGTGGGTGAGTGTTTTCCGTGGGAGAGAACGACTCCCTTTGGCGTGGACGTGGGGTTTTGTAAGTTCACAGATCTTTCCCATGTATAAAGAGGCCAGATAACATTCTACAACAAATGGAAAAAAACACAAAAAGCACATTATGGGCTCTTTAAAACACATCAAACACAAAGTCGACCCAGATATGCATCGTGTGTCACCAACAGCTATTCTTTTAAATGTTTGTATAGTCTTTTAGGGTGAATTTTTCCTTTAAACTATTTTGAAATCCTTATTCTTGCTTGTTGGTTTTGAGATCAAGTGACAGGCGTGATGTCGACGGTTACCTTTCCGCAGGCCGCAACAGACTCTCGACAGTTTTTATGGACGTTCAGGAAACAGTCTGCGGACAAGGGCAGACGAAAACTCGGTTAATTTCATAAGTTAACTGATAATAAACAGAATCACCACATTTCTGGACTCAGCGTCCAGATGGCTGTCAAACTGCGCTGCTGACTGTTGACTCCATGGAGGGAATACAATTGATTTCATGTCTTCTGCTGAACAAAACATCAAGGCAGCACGTGCGAAGAGATTTAAACAAACCCTAAACAGTTCAGCCACCACAGGACATAAAACAACAACAGCACTGACAGTATAATACTCACTGGAGCACTGCAGCAGCTCCTTCCCAGAAACAGACTTATCACAGGCCACACAGAGAGCAGGACCAGATGGAGATACAGGAACAAACTGGTGTCCATTAGCCGCTCCTGACTTCTCCTTTGCCTCCTTCACCTCTTTCCCCTTCACCTACAATACAAGCCATAAATATCTTTAATTTACTCGTTCGGCTGACGTTTACTGCGGTTAATGCCTCGATATCATGTAAAACCACCAAAGTAGAAATAACATGACTGAGCGGCAGGCAGAAAGAGGCACACAGCAGCCATCTTCCTGCTAAACACACCTGTTAAAGTGAAGCGAGGGGAGATAAAGAGGCCTCGGAGGGAGCTTTTCTGTTTACTTTGTTAAGGTCCGCGGGGACGGCTGCTGTTATGCTGCTTTATCCTCAGGAGGGCCTTTGGGGGATTCCTCTGTGTGTGTGTGTGTACGTGACGGAGCAATGTTTATTTTCTTATCAAACTTTACAAGGAAGTGTAAGAGTGTGTGTTTGTTTTTTGGACGGTCCATCGCGCGTCCGTACATACGTGGAAACATGTCCTCGGACACGCACACACGTGTCCGCGAGATTAAGAGAATACTACGGAATGTGTTTTGGTTCCTCACGCTGTGTGGAGGGAGGTCTGCACATTATGTAAGAGAATATTTTCATTGCGTCCTGTTGCTAAGACCTGAAGAGAGGGAATTTTCTACTTGGCCAAATAAAGGCACCGTGCTCAGACAATGGCCCCCCAGCGCAGGAATTCTGACCCGGCTTGTCTGAGAGGCGGTAAACCTTTTACTGCGCTGCTCTGGGAAGCCTTTCAGCTGTGGCTTTTCTTTTTGTTTTTTTAATCATAAAGGTCAACTATAGGGATTTTCAGTCACGTTTTAGGCACATGTAGGGGTAAATCTTAGCCGGCAAGAACTCATATTTTCCACTGTGCCGCCTCACCTTGGTCTTGCTGCGAGTGCTGGACATCCTGCTCTTGAGGAAGCTGAAGGTCCGGCTGACTTTGTACTTCTCCGACTCGACCTTAGATGGAATTATGTATTTATCCCACTCCTCATCCTCGATCCTGTGGCAGCGTGAACACACGTGTCATCACAGTTCCTCGCATCGCTTTGGCCTGAGCAAGACTCACATCCAAACATGCACACTGTTTCTAAAATGAGTCACTATTTTATTAATAGACGAGAAAGAGTTGAATAATCAGGTACGCTGGTGTCATGCTGGAATGAAAGAATGTCCAGACAGTCTTCCAGGACCCCTGGTCTACAGATTATTACTCTTAACAACATGCTTGGCATGCTTGGAAGTCACTATGGACTCTAGTGGCTGCTATTTATAGTATGACCTTGGTAAAATGCAATTAATAATGTGTCAGCTATTTACAGCAACCTACGCTGGTTATGTTGGGCATTCTAGCAACAATGGCAGAACGTAAAGAGGAGAAACATGCAACATCACATCACACCTGTCGTAAAAAAGTGTTAATCTAACTTCTGCACATTCCTACGTCAACAAATACAGCTGAAAAGGATCCGTGTGGTGAGTGGATGAGTTGAGGAATGGTTTCACGGCGGGGTTAGAATGAGTTAAGCCACACATGCATGGCTGTGAGGCCATTTTGGTGAAAACATACTCTTTGAGGAACTCTGTGAGGGTGAGGTGTTGGAGCGATGCGCTGCTCTCCTCCTCGGCTGACTGGGCCCGCTTACGGAAACCCAAAACCCTGCGTGGATATAAAAGACCTCAGACCAGGTTGTCGTTGCGTCTCGGCTCATCAGGTAACTCAAAATGTTAATAAGGTTTGAGGGTGTCTAAAATCAGAGCACTTTTGTGTAAGGAAGCTAAGACGACTACAGGTTTTACATATGAATACACACAGTGATGCTACGTAATGTTTTAGTAGATCGTATATTATCGTAGCCGATGCTTTTATGCAGAGGTTATATCCACTTTGTTAATACTGGATGGTTGGTGAGTCTGATCAGGTTGGTGTTGTGATTATTATTTTATGCTAATGCAATAATCCAAGGGCTCTAATATGATAACGTAATCGTCTAACATGATGTTCTACAGTGTTTCCTCTGTTAGCAATGCATGGTTACCAGCAAACAAAACGTATTAGCACATGATGGGTTTATGAGGCAGCCAGATGGAATCAGCTGTAACATGAACATGGAAAGTGGTATTTATGAAATGAGAACCAAATAAGCAAAACGTGTTACATGGTGGGATCGTGAAGCACATGTTAATTCAGAATAATTGTTAAAAATCCAAGATAAATACTACAATATGTGCATGCTGCAAATTCAGTATCGTTGATGTGGTCAAGAAATGAGGGAGATGTTTCTGAGGTCTGACATCCAAGAAGCCCCGAGTTTGGTTGTTTATTTTTGGTTATATTGAGGTTGCAATCAGAGAATATATATGTGTGTATATATATATATATATCCTGGCCCCAGTCTCGCAACAGGAAGTATGTCACATCCTGCACACTCAGACTCCAACCACAGGTTTAACACCAGAGACACACAAACACACACATATACACATGCAGACCCCATCTAAGCCGGTGTCTAACCGCTGGTCAACACCGATGCCTAAAAAGGGAGGAACATCTGAGCGATACCCTAAACACAGCTGAGAGGAGCTTTATGAAATGATACGCCGGTTTTACCTCTTTTCTCTGGGCGTCTCAGTCAGGTTGAACGCTCGCTGCTCTGTAATGTGAAAATAACGAGGACGAGCAAATGAGTAAGCCAGAAACACATGCCAAAACATTTGAAAATGTTCTTATAGATAGAAGTGAATCAGCTGAAAGGGTTAAAAGCCCCATTATCTCCCGATTAAAACTGAAGCAAACGCAGGGATCACTGGACAAGTCAAGATCCAGCAAACCCCTCCAGAGAAAGAATAAACACGGCAGCAAGTCTTGCCTTGAAAAACCAGATGACAGCATAGATGGAAAAAAAAAAAACAGAAAACCAAGAGGGAAACAAAACATGTACCCAAATGGAAGCATAACAGAAGCCTCAGAACAGAAACAACTTGTTCTTTAGACGATCTGTAGGAGCTGAGCATTCCTCCAAAGCCTCAGTCCCCTACTCGTCCACCACTATACAATATAAATCAGTTCTTGGACGACTATTGTTCTACGAAGAGCAAATCCTGAACAGAAAGTCTGCTTTTGATCAGTTCAAATATAATGAAAACTCCTTCCCGAGATAATGATTTGTGCATTACACATTGAGTGTTGAGCTCACCACCAAGAATTAAACTGCACCACAGAGCTGCACAATTTGGGGCAACAGTGAAAAACAGCTTTACTTTTCACAAACAATGGAGCTGGACTGATGCTGGACATCTGGGGCTGATTCGGATACTGAATAATAGGGAGTAAAAAATTCTGATATTGATATTTACATTGGCTGACATTCCTGATGTGTGTGTATATATATGTATGAAGAAATGAAATGAAAAATACTTTATTTATCTTTCATTTCTTCATTTATATATATATATATATAAAATGATCAGCTCATCATCAAGCTCTGCAGAAGCCTGATAACGATCCTGATCATTTGAATCAGGTGTGTTGGAAGAGGGACACATCTAAAACATGCCGGACTGTGGCCCTCGAGGACCAGGATTGGACACCCCTGCTATAGAGCTATATTGAAAAGGGTGTCACAAACTAATTAGCAACTCACATGAAGACACCTCTTGACTCCAAACCACCACTCTGCTACATGTGCTGCAGGCAGATCGTGCATATTGTTTTATAATTAGTTTTTTTTTAAAAATAATAATAAGTTTGGCACATATTGGTGAACATTTATGCAAAAGCCCATATTTTTGTGATGAGCCATTATTTGCCAATAATACTGGCTGGCCTCCAGGAAATATCTGGAAAAATAATCATTTTACAGCAAAATTATTTTGTTTTGCACTGTAAGTTTTTTGTTTTTTTCAATCCTGTACAAATCTAGGGTAGTAAAAAGTTTGAAGATCCCAGTTGCTCCATTTAATTGTGCAGCTCTTGTGATCACCAGCTGGTCCCATGATGCACCAGAAAAAGGGAAAAGACACTGAAACGCCTTCACCAGTTGTTGTTCGACGCCGTTCTTGTACTTACTAACTTGGTTGAGACGAGAGAGGGATTTAGAAAGAGATAGAGCCTGAAGTAGAGAGCGGCCGCTGCTGCTGAACGCGCCATCTACACGGGACAGAGCACGGCCTTCATTCATATTTTCTCACAAACACCCTCACGAGTGACTCGGAGCTGACACTAAACACACACACACAGAGCTCCAGCTGATTTATGACAGTTGTCTGGTCTTCCCCCTTCCTAGACATGTGGCACATTTGTCCATTCAGCTGGTTCTTGGGAACGCCGAGGTCGCGGGGCAAAGGAGTCATAGTTCACTCACCTTCTGCCAGATCAGTGATAGTTGCGTCTCGGTTTAGCAGCGGCCGTGACGGCTTTGCTTTAGGGGAGGAGTAGGAGTAGGAGCGCAGGCGAACCTCGGCTTCCTCTGGGTTCTGGGTGAGGAAAACATATCAGAAGGAACGGATCAGACTGCAGAAAGCAGAAGCTAACCGGTTCAGGAAAATTGGAGAGCAACAAAATCCTGCAGCGCTGACATTTTCCAGCTACCTCTGACTTTTTATCCGCTCTATTGAGCTTTATTGACAGTGTGGGCTTATCTGCTACTGATTGTCAGTAAGGTAGACTTTGTGTTTGATGTCAGACATGACTTTTGTTTTATGCAACTCTTATTTTAATCACAAATCTTTCTGCACAATTGATAAGTGAATGAAAGCATCATACAGAAGGCAAGTGAGGACATTATTTGAGTGGAATGAAAACAAGACGCTGGGGTGACCTAGTTAAAGTTAGAGGGTGAAATGTTTATAGAAGCAGGAATTCAGCAGGAATCATCTCCTGTCTCGAGACAATATAGTCACAGATTCACCATATTTTTGGGAATAAAGCTGTTGATGAACCAGGAGAAGGAGAATTGGTGTAAATATTCTGTGTCAAGCCGGATATGATTCTGCACACGGAGATGAGGGTCTAACCTTGGTGACCTTCTGCGTGACGTCGGAGTGCGCGCGATTGAAATCCGGTGACGTATCGAAGGAGTCCCTCTCCTCTCCTGAGCTGGACCGCAGGATGGACGGCTGCTTTGAGGACGAGCAGGGGTAGGAATGTCCCAGTATGTCCTCCTCTCCGCTGTCACACTCGAGACTGGGGCTGTTTGCAAACACAGAAATGCAAAGGTTATAATCCGACAGTGCGCTAAAACATGAAGTGGCTGCTAATAAATTAGTCTGCATCAGCGGTGACGACGAACTTTGGTGAGAGTCAAAAGTCATCACACGCTCACTTTTGCTGAGCACAAAACAACAAACCAGATCGAACTGCAGACCCACATTCAGACAAAAGTCTACAAGGATCATGATGTAAACAGCTAAAGTCTAAACTCCAGCAGATTACAAGCTGCTTTGTGATGAGCTGCGTTATTTTGCAGATGGCCTAAGATGGCCCATCGTGGACAAATCTGCAGCCTTTTGATCGCTCGATTCTGCATCACTGAGGAAACTGGAAGGAATGTTCACTCCAACGCACAAACAGCTCAATTGTATTCGAGCTTCCTGTCACTTTCCACACCTTCGCCGACAACAATCACTGAGCTACATGTAAGAAACAAAACAAATATTTTCCTCACATTCCAGACTTATTAGTTGTCTTAGCATAGGTTAAACACAAGACCGCCTGTGACTCAACACATTTCTAAACTGTTGCAGAGGTTTAATGATCTGCTGCATTGATTTTAAAAAAAAAAGTAAAGTAGGTCAGCCTGCATGCAATAAAAAACTAATCCCGTTTGGAGGCAGTTGCATGAAATTTCTTTAATAAAAAAAGCAATAGTTCACACTTTGATGTTAAATCAAGAATCAACAGCGATCGCGTCCTACCTCAGGCCTCGGCTCGCCTCCGTAAAGCTGCATCCTCTGTGATTCAAAGCCGGAGAAACTGGCAAGCATGTCTGGTTCTGACGCCTCTGTGCTCCTTCGAACAAACGGAGGGCGGAAGCCAGGGGAGAGGAAGGAAAAGATGGGGAGGAAGCAAAGGGAGAGGGGGGAGAGACGCGAGGAGATGGCTCCCTGTGACTCTCCGGGCCTTGGATACCCCTCTGCCCGCTGTGGGGTGAGGATGGGTGCCGGTTCTGGGAGCAGTTCCCTGAATTAGGGGGAGTCACGGAGAAGGAATCCCAGCAGGAGCTGCCAGCATGGGATGAGGGGCTGACCTCATCCTCCCCTGGAGAGCGGTACTTAATGTCAGCGTCGTCCACCTGGAACAGAAACGTGAGAGAGCAGTGAGAAGGAGCCGGAACCGATCCACCTGCTGATTTGTAGCTCCGCCACTGAAACATTTCACATGTTGAGCCAGGTCTGTTCATTTTATGAATGATACCACTGCTAAACATTCTTCTCTCACTCTAGATGCATAGAAATAAATACTCACCTGGTCCACCAGCATGGCGTTGGCGTACACTTGGTCTTTGCCGTGGATCATCGCTGACAGTCTGGCAGCGGCAGCCAGAGTCGGGGATGAGGCCTGGCTCTCCCTTATGGACTGGCTTTTCTCTGCCGAGAGGGAAAGAGCCAGAGAAAGAGAGAGAGAGGGGATTTTTCAATATTACATTTGGTTTCCACAGCAACACCAAATAACTGCTCACAAACACAGGAAGTGACATACACATCCTGGGCAGTTGCATGTCATTGTTCAGGACCAAGAGTCTCTGTACGAGTGTGTGTGTCTGTCTGAATGGCTCTTTGCACACACACGTGAAATGGTGTGTGTGCATGGAGCTGCGAGCTGGAGGCATGTTCCTTCCCCACCCTGCCCTTCGATACGGCCGGCGAGTGGAAATAACTCCCGGTGAGCACACAGTGGCATTGAGAGGAAGCCTTTCAACACAGTGGAGTCACTGTGAGCAGCAGTCTGGTTTTGCTGTTAAACAGGAGAAAACACTCCTGCTCTCAAAACACACACACACACACACACACACTGACACACACACAGCTCCCTCTGGGATGTAAAACGCACACCCTCTCCACAACACAATTTCTTAGAAGGTATTTCGGGCTAGAAAATAACCTATGCACATAAACAAAGACGCTAAACGTTGCCAGTCGCTGCACAACAAAACCTTTGATGAGACATTTACAGCAAAGTATTGTTTAGGAATTTCTGCACAAAGTAAAGGAACTCAACTGTGATGCACACAAGGCCAGAAAGTAGCTGAAATGCTCGGTAAAAATGGACATTTATACAAATACAGCCGCTTGAACGGCAGACGAAGATCATGCGAAATGATCAACAGCTACTAAATTGTGAGTCAACTGCTCATTTCAAGCTTGAGGAAACTGAAACGCATGGCTGTTTGTAGTGGAGGTAAGGCGATACAGGACATAAAAGTGTTTCTGGTGTAACTTTGTCCAGCCTCAGCAGCCCACTCACTACGCAGCCTGTGTGTCACATTTGCATCATGTATAAGCTATTTATGAAAGGCTGAGTTAATCACAATTCTGGTAATCTGACTTTTTAATCACTTTTTTACCTCTACTAGTTTACCATCAGTAAAAATAAGTGCCTATGTCTCAGCAAAGATGTTTTTTTTGCAGTATGATATGAAGCCTTTAGTCCTTGATTCCAAAAAACATCCATTTCAGAATCGGAGAGAACCCACGCTGCATGTGGAGAACATGGAGACTCCACGCAGGAAGATCCCGGGTGTCCTCACTGGGATGTGAACCAGCGACCTTCTTGCTACGTGACAACGGTGCTAACCACCGAGCCACCTTGCAGCCCGAAAACAAACCCATATCACTCAATTATAATGATCAATAAATCCACTAACTTGCCCTCAGTGCTGCAGTTTAGCTTCTAAACAAGCACAAAGCAAAAGACTGTAGATAAATTCAGAGGGTATCACTGTATTCTGCAGCAATAAATAAAAGATTTCACATTCTGCTAAAGATTCATGTGAGATTAAAAAAAAAAAAACTAAACAAACCAAATCTAATCACAATCGCAGCTGGTGCAGCACTTGTCACAGTAACCAGAAGAGGCAGCCTCATTAGCTCAGTTATATTATTATGCTCCTAATCACCATCTCACCTCACAATGGCCAAGCCGGGCCTCCAGCGATGCCAGCGGGGCAAAAAACATGCCTTTGGCATGTTAAACGCTTATTAAAACGAGACTCAACAGTCTTCTTTATAGAGGAATCTGTAGTTTATCCATGGTTTCCAGGCTTCCAGCACCGCAGAGCAGGAGAGGAGATGTCCAGCATTTGTAACAGAGAATAAATCAGACCAACAATTGGCTGTGCTTCCTGTAGGCAGTAAGTCCAATAAATCTGAGAGGCAACGGGGAGTCAGGCACACATTGATGAGGACACCAGATGATTCCTGTTACATCCACATCTAATATAAATGAATTAACTCGACTACAGAGAGCCCTCCGCATCAATCCTGAGCCTGCAACGTCCTGAAGTATCTCTCAAGTAGAAAACTGCAAAATGCTACAACCTGTTGTTCAGAAACGTCTGGATCCTCTTAGTTCCCCGTGAAAACATTACACTGTCTATGAACCTGATTCCAAATCCATCATACCTGCACACAGTCACGTTAGATCGTCCGCTATGTATCGCTGGATTAGCTTTAGTCCAACATCAAATCCACAGAGGGGGCCAGATCCTGGATGTGGGTCAAGCTGCTGTTTGAAAGCAGATACCGTTTCATATAAACCCACTTCGGGGACTTGACAGGCAGGCCTAATAGTTCAGGTTCTGGGCCGGGTCCAAAGCCACAGCTGGCTGCCGTGGGCTCAATCATTCACACACCTCTGACCCATAAACACTGCCTCAGTGAACATTACTGTCAGGCAGCGTGATCTGTGTTTAACATTAGTTAACGGGGGGGAATAACAGAGAGGCAAGGAGTTCGTATTACTAACAAGTTAGACCTGCACTAAATCAATCTTTCTGTCTTTGTCGCCGAGACAGAGGAACGCCGTGCGCAGGTTGCCACTTGAAAGGGAGTTTTTAGAAATGCAGAGCCATGTGTGGGGCTATTTATATAGGATTTTTGCTCACGGAAGATATATTTGGAGTGATGTGATATTCAGAGCATGTCCCTGAGTGAGAGCCAACCCTATACAGTAGCGGTGCCTGGAGTGGCTGCAGAAAAGTAAAAAGAGAGACCGGGATCTCTACAGAGACTCAGACAAAGACAGCAGTCAGTGCCAGGTTTCCAGACCAGGGCAGTTAAACACAGAGAGTGACCCCTCAACCCATGCACACCCCTGGGAGAGAGAGAGAGAGAGGGGGAGAGGGGGAGAGATGGAGGAAGGCAGGATGGAGAGGAGGGGAGTCGGGGGGAGGCAGGCCTGTCACAAGGGCTCTTTCTCAGGCTTCGCTCCTTTTAGAAGCTGTTTGGCAAAAACAAAATAATCATAATTATTCATTGTATAAACACCTCGGCTTGTTTATTATGAGTATGAGAGGATTATTTGCCCGTGCTGTCCCGTCTTTTATGATGTCAGTTAATCACACCAAACAACTATCGCTTTGGAGAGAGAAATTAGGATCAGCGTGGAATAACAAGCTAGAAGAAACACAACAGCGGGTGTTATTATCCTACAAAAAATAAGAGGGGAGAGGTAATTATTTAACTTTAGTGTTCAGGCCGTTTAAATCATTAAAGCAATTGTCCACCAAAATCCACAAACCCACTCTGAGTTATGACACCTGTGGTCAAACATCCCGGTCCAAGCATCACATTCCCATTGTGTTTACATTTTAGTGCGTCACCCGGCCCGAGAGATCCAGGAAGAGGTAGAAAGCCAGAGGGAGCAGTGATCACTTCTCAGAATGAAGAAATAAACTTGCGGCTCTGCACACCTGAAATCACATCTCACTTCAGCAGGTGCATTGTTACACCAGAGCCCACTTCTTAAAACTGTTTAAATCTCCCCCTTGAAGACCGTACGGCCGGTTTAAGAGGTTTATGCAGCGCCACTGTTTCTGCTCCTCGGTCAAAAAGCGGCGCAGACAGGCAGTGCCGACGTCAATCACAATTACGGAGCAATAACATGGATAATCTTGCAGAGGTTTATGGTGAAAGATGAGGAAAAGACGACTGGAGCTGAGCCATGACACAGCCATGGCAGTAACTCGATCTTGCTCTGTGTCTGTCTCTCAGTTTCTCACTCTTTCCGTCTCAACAAACACCAGGACACTTGCACACAAGCAATGAACTGTTTAACCACTATGGTTTAATTTTGCACTATTTTAAGCATCTACTCCAGCTCTCCCATGACTAACAATGAAGCAGTAAACTTGGAGGCCAAGTTTAGGTAATAACTTCGTCAGTTTCTACTACTAAACCGAGGCAAACACTGATTCTGAGCTCCCTTCAGTGACACCTAAACAAGCACCAGTTATCAGCTGCAGGTGTCTGGGCCTACACGTATGAAAGCATGTGTTAAACGGTGGGCCCACCTTTTGTCACATGAGGGCACGGCTCCTCAGTGGGTTGCATTTATGCACACGACAGTCCCTAAGATGTCGAAAGCCCCAAACCACTCAATCAGCCTCAAGTGGACATCTGACATTCCCCAACATACTGTCAGATATCAGGTTACATCAGCGGCAAACGTGTGGTTATCTCACTCTGACCGATCCGGTGCTGCAGTGAGTAACAATGTGTAATGGGAACAGTCTAATTTTAACTTTATTGTTCCACCATGAATGGTTAAAACATGTCTGCCAGCACGACAGACTGCAGTTAAGACCCAGATTTTCCGTATCTAACGTGGACGAGCTGCATCGTCTGCATGGTGCGTATAAAAAGCCGACAGCTTTCTCTCCAAAATCAACCCGCGTGGATCAGATGTCTGTCAAACTCTGCAGATGTCAACATGTCACAAACACATACTTGAGGATATTTCTGTCGGCGAAGCGAGAAGTGACTGAGTCAACGTTTATGGCAGCTGACATAAGTGTCAATGTGAGAGGACAGAAAGGCAGATTGATTACTGCAAATACGACTGATTTACTACCTTTTTTGCCCGTCTTCCTGCGCATCCTCATCTTAGGAAACGAAGGCCAGGAGTAGTTGAAAGGAGAGTCTGAGTCAGAATCCATGACTTTCTGATCTTAAAGAACATCCGAGCAGCTCAAGGTGTTTTGATGAATAAGTGAGCAGCGCCTCGATTCACATCCTTCCCCACATGGCTGAGCAGACAGCGAGCTCACTCCTTTTTCCAGAGCCCTGCTGTAGACACTCTGACACTTCAGGAGTGAGCCAGCATGTTCCCCTCTGCCTCCCCCAGCCTCCCCTCCCCCTAAAAGTCCTCCCCTTCCCCCCCTTGCAAAACTCCAACTGTCCAACAGAGCCGAACCCTGTCTTCTCCCCTCTTGCTTCTTCTTCTTCTTTGAGTTTTCCCTCTATTTAACACTTCTTCCTTCCTTCTCCGACTGCTCCTGTGGCAACTTGTGGGTCTCTTGTTGCTCTCTGTTGTGTGTCTCCCTCATTCAACTCATCCACCCCACACAGTACACTGAGCGAGCGGGAGGCAGATCAACACATGCTGACAGGAGCAGGAGAGGGGGAGGAGGGTATTGACGGCCGGAAAGAGTGACTGAAGGACAGAGAGAACCGGAGAAAGACAAAGTCAAACATAGGAGTGACTTCAGAGTCTTGCGGCGAAGACAAACACGAGGGGCAGACGGCTCAAGCCGAGGTGAGTCTCAGACACGGCAGAAATCATTAACCCTGTGAGTTCATCATTGCCTCGGAGATATGCCGGGGCCACCGGGGGCTCGCACGCTCCACACACTTGACGCTACAAGCAATCCAAGCCCAAATATGCCTAATGCCACATCTGAAGAGACTCCTTCTCAATCACTCCATTCTCTGTGTTTTAGCATGTCAAAGCCGAGCTGTGGAGGGAGAAGGAGAGGACGGGAAGGAGGGGGCAGACAGACAGCCAGCCAGGTCAGCAGCCTCACCATGGAGACAGCAGTGAGAGCTGCTGCTGTTTTCTTCTTCTTCCATGTCGTTTCTTTCCTCCCCTCCACCCCCTTCTCGCCAACCTGCAGGAGTACAGTGCTCCATTTGCAGCGGCGAGGACACAAGCAAAGCCTGGCAAACGGGACGGTAAAGGGGTTTTAAGAGACAAACGAGACAATGGCACCGTGGAAAGGGGCCAAACATGGGTTTATAAATGCACATAAATGAAGGAATGTGAAAAAAAAAGAGAGAAAAAGGGGATGAGAGGGGTTTTGTAGGCAGAATATATGCAGAGGAGGGAAAAAAGAGGTACACTGTGACTATAGAAAGTAGTTTCTGTGTGTGTGCATGGGGGGCGGGGTGGAGGAGGGTGTTGGCACTGTACTGGTGAACATTAATGCTGCCTTTGTGGGGTCTGTGTGAGGTTTAATCCTTTTTTCCGTTCTCCAATTAGATCCCTCAGTCGGGGTCGGAGACTCTTGTTGGCGCTCCTGGCGTTGCACTTATCGTCTGTTGTCACTCTGCCAAACTATCCATATCATAAATCCCTTTCTCTCTCTCTCTCTCTCTCTATCCTTCTCCCCCCCATTACACAAACACACACACACACACACACACACACACACACAGCATTTTAACACTCCTCCGCTCTCCTCTCTCTGGGGATCTCAACAAGCTGCTGGAAAACTGCATTCAGCAAAGCCCTGGCAACCCCCATTCAGCCACAAACACCCCTTTTTTTTCACTTCCCTATACCCCTTGCCCCCTTTAGAGCGCTCTTCCCTACTGCATTCTTCCTCTCAAACACACAAGCGAACACACACTCTCTCACACACACACACACATCGACCTCCTTCCTTTCACCAGCCATGGAGAGCAGAGCTCCTCAGGCTGAAGTGGTCTTTGCTGTTTGTTCACTAAACTCACATTAAAATGCTGACCTGGGAGGATGGGTAGGTGGTGGGGAGGCATGGGTGTGTAAGTTTGTGTGTCTTCTGTATGTAGGTATTTGGGTGCAAGTGTGTGTGTGTTTTGGGTGGGGTATTTAAATATTGGGGGCATTAGGAGGGCAAAGATGGGGGAAAGGGAAGGGAGGAGGGAGGATTTAAGAGCAAAGAGAAACACTGCGTCTTTTCTCTTTAAAAAAAAAAAATTATTATATTTATATTGTAAACACTGCAAATCCTTCTTTGGCAACAACATATGTAATTACAGCCGTGCCAGTGAAGTTACAGTAATTGGAAGCGGGGGAGAGGAAGGGATGACATCAAGAAGACAGGAGGAACATGACAGCTACGTTCAAAATTCCTCATCCCTCGCTGAGAGTTCTGGCTACACAAGTTGCGTCTGTCTATTTGATGACGCATTAGCTCGAGCTGAGCGGCCATATTGCCATGTGTCAAAAAAAAAAAACAGGCGAGGAATCACAATATAGGCTCCACTGCTTCGCTAGAAAATATCAAATCCCGCCGGTCACTCGTGACAGCTCTGGAATGTCTAACGAAGAATTTAAATTCTTCAAGGGTCAAATAAGCATTGTTATCCCGGAAGAATGTCATGTATGAAACCTGAGTCACTTCCAGGCTGAGCTGTATTTTGTCAGTCGAGCGCGTCGCTGAGGGGAAACAGTGTGCAAAAGTGACACCACATTATTTCATCTGAGGCATCTGAAGAGGTCAAACGGGGTCAAGAGGAGGAAGCGATCAAAGACTGGACAGAAAATGTGAAAATCCGCAAGTCAGGCAACGCAGACAGATACTCACAAACACACATATGCATCCACAGGACGAACGGCTAAAGCGTTTAACATGGAAAACTACACCAGCCACAGGACATTCAGATTGCAGATGTCCAGTGCCAAGTGTTATAAAGCCCGAAGCCTCAGCTGGTAACCACAGCATTCTTACACTGAGGCATCAGTCTGCTCTGCAGAAATACAAGGCAATTATTAACCCACAGGATGTTCCCACTCTCAAATCCTTCTCTTCCCGTCCAGAAGGCAGATCAGAGCGAAGCCACCTTCAGCCATCGCGTTCGGAGTTTGCCCAGTTCACTCCTGTTCTCCTGAGATTACTGGCAGAAGCAGGATGACTCAGAGTTAACTACAGGACTACATGCAAAAGATTCCTCCTCGGTGCCACAATAACTGTAAACACAGGGTGACAAGACTCCAAAAACTCACAACAGAGGGGGGGCGAGAGCAGCCGGGGGCCTGAAATGTGATCCTATAGTCAGCAGGGATGGCAGACAGAGAGAGTCGAGGATTAGAGCCCAGTTCCAAGTTCTGTTCAGGAAAGGAAATGTTTCCTGCAGTTGGACTCACTTAACTATTGGAAGCTACTTGGATAACTTCCTATGAATATAACACCACCTAAAACAACAATGATCACTTTCAGCCTGCACAAAACATGAGCTTGAGCCGAGGTACCGCAGGCTCTAAAATTAAAACCACGTCTAAAACAGGCTTCTGTGAAAGTAACACTGCTTGGAAGGAATCTTAAAAACTTTACCAGAGTCAGACTGCGACGGCTCGTCTTCTTCTTCTTCTTCTTCCTCGTCCTCCTCATTCAGGCAGAACATCAGCTGCTCTTCATAGTCCTCAGTGAAGAAGCTGGGAACCTTTCATGAAACAGCACATTCCCACAGTGAGACTTTCACTTTATGCATACCACTAAAAAAAAAAAGAGCAGAACTAAGTACAACAGCATAAGTGTGTGTGGTGAGTGCCAAGGGGTGTGAAAAAGATCAATTAGGTAACCATCTGTATCACATTAACCAGGCCCTATTGGATGACCAGGATCATGTGCACACGCCACACCTCTCACAACATGAAACATGCGTTTGACCGCTCACAAAGACGGCTATTCAGCGGCGTGTGCAAGGTGCCAACTCCAGCACCTTGACAATACGAGCCAAACAATGTGCAGCATTGAGGGCAGCCGGTGCCTTGTTATAGCCACGACCACAGCTCGCCGCTAGCTGGTGCAGATGTTCACGCAGACCGAATGAGGGTCAGAGGGTTTTTAAACCGCCACTTGTAATAACATATCTGGGATATTTTTAAGCAACACGTATTGTTTTAAAGTAGATAAAGGCGCACGGTTAACCCCAAATGTTGTTGGAGGGACAGTGAAGCTATGTGCACGTCTAAATCATCAGTTAAAGCTGTTTAACCCTCTAAACCCCAAACAGCTTCTGGTTGGGTTTTGTTGCTCCTGTCACATTTTTACAGGCTGTGGGATCTTTTTTTCTTTAAGTCCTGCACCTTCTATGGGGAAAAAAATAGGGATCTACATATGATAGATATTTTACTACTTGGATATTCACATTTGTCTCTGGTGTGCGTTGTGTAAACACAGCCTGCAGCTCAGCCAAAAACACTCTGTGAATTTTTGTTGTGTGAATGTTGGCCATCGATAAGTCATTAATGGTTTCTCAGCTGCAACCAGAGGCACAGATTTTTAGTTTTTACAAAATCTAGTTTCCGCAAACAGTTTATTTTTGTCTTCTTTTTTCCCCCCATATGAGACATGTAGTATAATTTATTTTCTCAGTGAAACCACGTGTCTGAAAGATTAAAATCTGACTCTTCTTTTTGTTTTTATAGTTTCAGGCTCTGATAAATGTTGTATTTTTGGCAGATTTTTTTTTCTCAAACCTGTCGTCGAGTTTTTGGGGTTCAGAGGGTTAAGATATGATAAGATAAGATAAGATATGCCTTTATTTATCTCACAGTGGAGAAATTCACGTTGTTGATAGCAGCATTAAACACAGAGATACACATATATGAGACAGAAAAAAAATGTACATATAAATATAAGAAATAGTGCAAACACTAGTTAAACACTATTTCTAGGAAGATTGACACTGAGAATGAAATACATCATATTTGAATCCACAGCTGCCAGTGTGTGTGATTTATCATCAGCAAATCCATCACTGTCCTGTGTTAAATACTTACATTTTCTTCACCAGCAGAGCTTCCTCCATTTAAGTCGGGGTACAGCGCTGAAAGAAGAGAAACGCAGCCGTTAAACTTCAAAAGAGACTCAAGCAAGCGCAGATGTTTGTCAGTTTTTAACGATACCATGTAAAGTTTTCATTTGATTTTATTTTCATAACCTGAGGGGACTTTTTTTATTTCACTGTGTGGCCTTGATCTGCTTTCTTTTTCATTTAACTACCATCAGATCAAAGGGCACGCTGTATGATCACTTACCAGAAACAAAGCAGCGACACACAGAAATTAGGGTTTGGGTGGTTTGATTAGTGGCCCCAGGTCATGTAAATATACACAAGCAGGAAATGTCAAAGGAGGAAGTGGTGGAGAAAGTCAGAGAGGAGAAAAAAACAAAAGAGGAAGATGAGAAAAGGGCTGAGAAAGGAGAACATACACTATGTAGGAAAAGATCTTTTTGGGCCTTAATGCGTAATCACAAATAGTGACGTCTGCTCAAATGTTTCTTAGGCAAGAGGGAGAGAGCCAGAGAAACAGAGAGAAGAATATTTTAAATGTCATCAGGCTGTTTTATGTGTTTATAGCCATGCTGGATGTGTGGACCTCCGTATGTTTGTTGGCATCTTAATAAAACACCTCAAACACTGTTGGATGGATGCTGTGAAACTCTGTGCAGTCATTCATGATGTCCAGAGGCTTGAACTGTAAAGGCTTGGTTTACTCCCAGACTTTTCCTCTAGCACCACCAGCAGGTCACAGTTATATTTCAGTATCATTTACAGTCACTGCACAAAATGCAGCCTCATGTCTTATGATGACTTTTCATCCGCCTGCTTCATCAGGTCAAACTTTCTGTGTGAGTGAACTTGTTTGTTACCAAAACACCTGCCAGATATAAATCCTCATCATCCTCAGGTGTACTCTATGCTGAGTTATAATAAACAGACGCTAGATTTAGACATCCTAAGGGAAGAAGGTAACCTGCTAAACAGCCGTTGTTGTTTATTTTATTTTATTTTATTTTATTATCCTTTTGATCAGAAAAAAGAAAAGAAAAGTAGCCTAACCATTAAAATCCTTAACTCTATGAGATGAGGAGAAATACTGATGCTGGTGATAAGTGATTTGCACAATTCACCTTATTTGTTAAAAATGTTGTCAATTATTTTTTAAATAACTGAGTAATAACTCATCATCCATTAACCCACTGAGCCCCAAAACCCACCGGCGGGTTTGACAGCATGTTATACTTCTTTAAAATCCCTAAATTACACAATTTAGTAAACACGAATAAGCAGATTTTTTACTTTCTAACAGTCATTGAACTGATCATGTTTGACGTGTGGTTTGATTGGAAAAAAATAATGAGATGACTCAGCTTTGGTTGTGAGTTCGAGTCCCGCTCATGACCCTTTGTTGCAGGTCTCTCCCTCATTCTTCTCCCCCCTTTCCTGTCTCTCTCTACTGCTCTAAATAAAGGCAAAAGCCCAAAAAATATATTAAAAAAAAAAAAAAGGGCTGATTAGCAGCCAGAGTGGGAGCAAGTATGAAAGGATATTAAATATGTAAGTAGTAAAGTATCTACAGCATGTAGAGTTACAGTATTTTCCAGTGTATATTAATTCCTTTTTTCTCCCTAAAATAAATTACTGAACAACTCAACCTTTGCTATTTGTTCTTTCATGATGTGTACTTTTATAATGTTGTCGTACTGCACAAGTAGTTGTGTCTACTTCTAGTCATGGCTGTGCTGTTTCCATGGAGGTGCAGGACTTTATAATGCCGTGAAACAATGAGCCCACAGTGAGTAAAAGTGTGACAATAACAAAAAAAAAAAGTGCCCAAAAACTGCTTGGGGTTCAGGAAGTAAATTCAGCTAACTGGCTGTGAGTACTCTTTCTCCATACACCTTGTTTGTTCCTGTTTTGTTGGCCTTGCAGTACACCCAAACCCCCAGAGGAGGGCAGTCTCCTTCTATAAGTTTCTACATGGAGCCCAAACAAACCAGTACCGTGAAACTGGCAGATCATTGCAACATGGAAGACAAGAGTTAAGACATAGATGGTTTAGCTTAACCAGGCCAAATCCCAGAAAAGAGTCAGATGAGGAGGTGTGTGATACCACTGTCTGCAGGATCATCCACCAGCTCTTCCTTCCCTAAGACGGTCTCCACCCGGTCCCTCCTCAGCGCTTTGATCTGAGACACAGTCAGAACAGTTCAACCAGTGTTAACAGAGCAACTCACAGCAGCCAGAACTAGAGCATCGGTGTTGATTGGTTCTGACGTTGTGTTGCTTGTTTAATTACACAATTTCTATCCGTTTTTTTTCGTTAACTGGACTTGAATTTGCAGCAAAAAACAGTTTATGTCCCTCAAGAAAGGCTCAATCTGTTCTAATTTTGTTCATTTGGTGATAATTAACAACTTTATTCTGCTTAAGTCGTGCATTTACAGACATTACTGATGCACACAAGTGTTTATATAAACTCACAGCCTCCTCGTACCTCTCTGAGAAAGTCCACATCTCTGAGCCGGTCTCTCAGAAGCAGGATGTCGGCGTGCCTGCTCTCCTCCGAGCTCCACCTCAGGTTCTGTCGGACGGTCAGGGTCAGGTTCCCCGTGTCGTGACAGAACCTCAGCAGCCGGGATCGGTCTGCCCACACCTGGGACAGGCCTGCTGGAGGAGTGGCCAGAGGGTTGGGTGGGCTGCAGCAGGACATGAGGGATCAGGGGGAATATTCAGAAGACTTTCCACATAGTTTAAACAGATATCTAAAAGTGCACATGATGGTTCTCTAGTGTTTCTAGCAAACAGAAGCCAGAGTTTGACAGACAATGCAAACAGGTGTTTAACATGCTTTAGTGTTCATAAAATGCACTTGAACCAGTGTGTTTACAGTATTTAGGAAATCTAAAGAATGAAAATGATCTGGGGTAATAGTTCATGTAAAACTGGGCTGCAGACGACGGTCTGTTGGGTTTCAGGCCACATAAACAGGCCCATAAAGCTGTGAGGAAGATTTATGGTTCCAGATTGATCCTGACTGATTGAGTTTGACAGGTAATACTAACAGGTGTTTAGCATTTTACGTGCTCAGAAACATGCACTTTAACAAGCATATTTACAGTATGTGAGAAATCTAAAGAATGAGAACGATCTGGGGTTAAAGCTCGAAAGCTTTCCCTCGCCCTCGTGTGTGGGGAAAGCTCTACGCCGAATGCATGATGCTCCAGCAAAAACAGTGACTCATTTGTCAGCGTCTCTCCTGGAAGTGCCCCGCCGGAGCTTGTAATCTTACTGTGAGAGCAGCTCCAGGAGCTCAGTGTTGCCGGCTGTCTGTGCCAGCTGCAGCGGTGTGACTCCGTCTTCGTTTGGCAGGCTGACAGCCATCAAACCTCCCGGCTGGCAGAGCAGCAGCTCGGCGAGCCGACACAGACCCCAGCGAACAGCCAGGTGGAGGGGAGACTCTCTGGGACTGTGCTCTGGAGATGCAGGGAGAAATAAAACACCAATATGATAAAAACAATTCTGCAGAGATAAAGGTATGTGGTAGGATCTAAGATAGGTGCTGAACTAAGGAAGGAAATGAGCAGTAAAATAAGCCAGTGGCAGAATGTGGGGGGAGAAAAAATCTGACATGTTGAGAACCTTGTGTGGATAACCATCTAATCATGGTAATTAAATGAACTGTCAATAATTGATTTCTTGTCTTGCGCAGCACTGAGGCCTTCTGCTCCACTGACCCACTTTGAGGCAATAAAAGTCTTTTAACAAAGCGGTGACAGATTCTTGTTCCTGTTTCTGCCTTTTTTCTGTGTCTGTTTCTAGACATGTTCCCTCCGACTGTCGTGCGTCAAAGCAGTTCTCAGAAAGCAAGTGTTAACGTTGGAATAATTTTAATTTAGAATCTACTCTAGCAACGTAAATCAACCCTAACCTTAACACCTTAATATTCTTTTATTCTATTCTGTACATTTTGGTCTGTGGTCTAGATAAAACTAACTAAGAGATGGACAAAATAGCAGACATGCCACGTTGCTCTAAACACTAACTCGCCCATTTGGAGAAGCTCAAAGTGTTCGATTTCTCTTTTGACTGTAAAACAATCTAGTGGAGGCCATTGCAGTTTTATTGTTTGACATTTAGCATCATAATTTTTGTGACTTTTAGCCTAAACACGGCAGCACTTGTGGCTGATTCACAAGCAACTCAAACTTTGACTTCAATAAGTCGCAATTATAAAAGCAACAGCGTGAGTCACGTTAACTTGAATAACAAAAAGGAGTTTGTGACAACTTTCATGACAGCAATTATTGTCATAACTGTGTTTTAGAGGAATGTGAGGCAACTGGCAGAGTTACAAAGAGGTCAGACTGATGCTACTTTAACCGACTGTGTCTTATCTACTAAGGCTGTGAAGCTGTGGTATGAAAATGAGTCATAAATTCCTGTGAATTACAGGAAAACAGAGTTTACACTGGAGCTCATCTGATATATTAGTTGGTTGATGTTATCAGCCAATATTGGTTTATCAGTGGTATTCTGGATGATATAAGTTGTCTAATATTAAAAAATAGTATTTTTTTAAAAAGGGACTCCCGTGACCCTAGTGAGGATTAGGCGGTGTATAGATAATGGATGGATGGATGGATGGAGAGTATAGCCAGCCCTATCTCTCCAGCTGTGTCAGTGCTGGAGCATGGTACATCTCATTATCACTGAGACTCTGGCCTGTTTGTATTTCTTTAAACCGATCACAGTCGTCTAGGCGGTGCTGAGCCCAGGATGCAGTGATGGTGCCACTGCAAATAGTAATAGTAGGAGGGATTTGTTTCGGTTAAACATTTGCCTGCAGGGAGGCGAGAGCTGTTATTAAAATGGCAAATCCACCGGGAAAAAAACAACAAAACAGTCAAGGCAGCCACATTTTGTAATTGAAATCTTTTTAAAATTAGCATTTTTTAGCGTGTAAGTTGCTGCTTGAAGGTTGTTGTTGCTGTTTGAAACGCAGACAGCAGAAGGGAGAGAGAACTCCAACTAAAATGCATTGCAGAAATGGAAGACTACATGACTGATGACTATGATTTGCACCCAGACTCCACTGTTTACAACATTCTTGCAGCGCATGTAGCAGAGTATGCATTGCAGCTGAGCAACCAGTGGTGAAGCAGCGTCTTCAATGGTAAGTTACTAACTAGTTTGTCAAGTGCACTTTTTGGAAATTTAACCAGACATGACCCCATCATTTTACTTTTTTAATATAAAGAATATCCGCAGATACATACATATTTGAATTCAGAAATCCACAATCGGTCAGGCTCTAGCCAGGCCCTGGAGAGTGACATTACTTAGCAAACCCACAAACACAACCTCAGATTTGACCATCAAAACAAAATGAACATTTAGTCCGATGAATGAAGCAAGCATACATCACGATGTTTGATTGTGATATTTGCTGCAGGGGGCTATTTAAATGCACAGCGCTGCACGATATGCCATCGTTTATTGATTCAGTTGTACATCCTGTGACTGTGGGGGTGAGGTGGGATTTTTCCAACATGATTGGAACTGTTCTCTGTGTTATAGTAATTCAATGAGCATTAAGAAAAACAAGCACGACAGGTGATAAAAGCAAATATTTATCCACAGACCGTCAGACAAGCTGTGCCTCACTTTTCTTTTTCTTTATTGTTAAAGCTATCTTACATTTTTCTTCACAGATACACTCCACTTTAGGAGTTAAAGAGTTTTCTTTTGTCCAAGGATATGCTGCAGCCAAAAACCCATCAGGGTTCAGGCCGTGTCGAGCCACAAAGACAGATTTCACAAGATAACACATTTGCCAGCAGTATGTCGGAATTTTAATGCTCATTTTTTAAAAACTGCTCTCAGTTCAGGAAGAAGATAATAATTAGCTCCAGTGCTGTCTCCTGATTTTGTGACAGAAGGGAGGATTTTTCCTTTTTTTTTTTGTCTCTTTGGACGTTGATTAAAGCCCTAAAAACTCATCTCTGTGTATCAAACCGAAAATTCAGAGGAAAATAACTCCTTTCTGTCTTACAACAGCACAGATGTAACTCTACATCTGTCTTGACCAATCCCTGCACTACTTGCTGCAGCTCGAGCACACCAGCTCACCTACAGGTCTGCTCAAACACTGTAGAACTGCCCTGCAACACAAGTGAAAAATGGAAATGTTGGAATAATTCAGCTGTAATTAAGCCTGTAGACAGGTTCTGAAGAAGAAGAGTGATTTGAAATGTCCCACCCTGAAGCTAAAGAGATTTCGGTTTGTCCCGTATGAATGCTGTCTGAATCTATGACAGGATCATTAATGCGGTCCAGGTTAAAGGTGGAAATGCTACATCATGGCGCTCACTGATTATTTTTGCTAGCACAGAAAAAGCCCCACATGACATAATACCAAGGCAGAGAATTAGATTTTCAGCAGAGGAGCTATTTCCATTGCCTTCAATAATATTGAAGCAAATAGTGACTACAAAAGGAAAATTGGGGATTGATTATTGAGTCATATAAAGCATCAGCGATAGAATGATGTCACGAGCAGCGTTATCGAATTAGCTGCAGACATTTAGTAGGAGACGCTGCAACGAAACAGACTGCCATAACTGTATTAGGGCTAAATCTGGTTTGTTATTTATGTAGGTGGCCGTACACAAACACTGGGATCATGCAAACAGATGGTGGCATTTAGTGAACACGGTGGTCAGCACGGACACAAGCCACACATGCACGCCCCGACTCAGATTTATTGAGCTCCGCCTCGGGCTACTTCCAGATGGAAAGACTCTATTAACCACATTACATGCTGCTTAATTGGCTTTGATGAATTTAGCAGAAGCACACATGTGAACATTGTTCACTTCCGATTTCAGGCTGATGGAAAATGGGAACGATGGCGGAGAGGACGGGGGAGAGCGAAGGGCAGCAGAGTTGAAGAGTTCAGTCCTCTTTGCAAAGCAGCAGCTTCAAGCTTCCAGGCGAGGACAAAAGCTGCCAATTCTCCATCTCTGCTCACTGCCTGCCCTCATTTTTTTATTTGTTCATTAACCTACATGTAAATAATAAAATCTAACACATCCCTCTTCACTTGTGTCTATCTTTAAACCAACTCTCCCCAACTCAAACATTCCCTTTCCATCTGGCAGGTTGCACTGCAGAGTGCTCATCTACTGTGTGCTGTTTTAAATGTCCACATCTTTACACACGTTGTTATTATTAAAAAACCAAATACGATGTGCTTTTGATCGGTATATCTGTGCAGGAATGCCCACTATGCACGATAAGACAATCCCGCTCTCACCGTCTCCACTGTGGCTCCCCAGCACATTCCAGTTTTGGGGGATATCCAGGTTGGCCATGGCCAGGGCTACTCGGCGATCCATAGCCCAGCGAGAGCTCTCCTGGCCCAGGTTGAAGAGGCTGCTCAGCTCCTGGTGATCAGTGGAGCTCAGGCAATGTCCGTGGATAACCAGGTGCTCTGCCAGGTCCTGAGAATAAACCAGTCATGAATAAGATACCATCTGTGATTACTGGACTGCTTTATAAAAATAACATACTCTTTTTTTAACCACTACTTTTGTGCACGTGTCTTTTTTCAAGCTACTGCTATGCAACAAGAAGAATTAAACACGTTTAGAGCTGTTTTTGTCTTAATGATATCACTGAATATGAGAACTTGAAATAACTTTATGGGGAAATGCTTTCATCCTTTTAGCAAATGCATCTAAAAAAAAAAACCCTAAATACTCCATTAACTGTCTTGCAGCATGCGCACAAGAAGGATCTGTGCATCAACAACGTGCAGGATTGTACAGGCCCGTCGTCCTCACCTGAGCATCGTCGTGAACGTACTCTAATGAAGCCCCGCCCACCCAGGTGAGGGGTGTAGTTTCAGAGCACAGGTAGGCCTGAACAGACACCACCTCAGCCAGGTTATGTCCTAAAGGAAACACAACAAGGGGGATTTAAACAGAGGTATATATCTGTCTGATGAAAAAAACAGTTTTATGAGACCTTAATTGCACTTCACTCCAAGATGAGGCACCGGCTCCAACAAAAATGCAGCAGACACGATGTTCCCAGTGACTGATTAACTATCTCAAAGTTCCTGGACTCTGTTACAAACTGTAATTAAATAAAGTGAGAATAATGGCTGCCTGGGTGCAAGGACATCTATCTAAAAATGCATTTACGGTTTGTGATAAATGAATGAACACGATTAAAATTCTACCGACCGCCTAGAAAGCGTTTGATTTGAGATTTTCATTTCGTGTGCAAAGACAGACATCTTTTTTTCCTTCTGTTTCTGATGCAGAGGGAGACCTTATTCTATCAGTGCAGCTCCTATGGAGAGTACAGAGCCTTCAGGACAGCCTGCTGTCTGTGACAACCTACACACAGGCTCAGTGATGTTGACATATTGTTCCCGGAGCTGTTTCCCCTCCCGAGAGGAAGCTGATAAGATTCTGTGCCTTCTCTAGACCTCGAGTCATCTACTGGGTATGTATATATGTGAGATTCAAATAGTGATCTACTGTTGGTGGCTGCGTCAGTACATCAAGAGTGGAAGGCTTGGGTTTGTCCGGTTAATGTCATGGTTTTGTGAAACATAATAAATAATAAACACATCACGCAGACATGCACATACCAGGCACGATAAAGCAGAGCATGACATCGCTCTGAGCCCGGGTCACGTGGACCAGCGTGGATCCTTCCAGAACAACGTAGATCTCTGCGTCCTCTGGCACCGAGTCTAATCCCTCCAGCAATGCAAACACCTTCGCCTCGCCCTGAGACAAAGAAAGGTGGGAGAGGTTGAGCGGTAAAACAAAAAAAAGAGAAATGCTAGAGAGCAAAATAAAAAAAAAAAGCTATATCAATTGGTAAGTATATAAGCTCATTTTAGAGTAAGACTTTATTCTGATGCAGTCGGTGTTCTACATTTCTGTCAAGTACACCAAATCCCCTGACAGCATACCTCTAGAGGGTACAATAAAACATCCCCCCTCAATAAAAACAGGAATGTCTTAGTGTCTACTGCAAAGACCTGCCCTGATCCCAGCAGGCAGGAGCACTTCAGGCTTCTCATCTGAGGCAACAGAAGGTAAAACGGGGCAGAACAGTCACGCCGACATGTGGAGTGATTGGTGGCTTTTAAATACTTTCTGTAGGTCAGATGTAGGTGTGAAAACATGTTATATGTCAGCCTCACAAAACTGTAATTCCCTACTCAAAAGGCCCCAGTTGAGCTGCTCGGATTCTGGGTCACCAGTTTATCTACGGCTGGGTTTTGTTTTATGTCACATTTTTTAGCATAACTGATGGAATGTCTGAGTTTTTATCCCGATAGCTGAATGGTAAAATGATTTTTAAAAAGGACAACAACCTAAAATCACTAAATAAAGCTGGCTGTCTGAAAATAGTGATTTCTATCTGGAGGTAAGGTTCCTAAATGCAGGCCAGATATTCTATACCTGCTTTTGGCACTAACATTTTAAAATATTCGGGGGGGCACAGATGTATTTCTATAACAAAACAGCGCTGAGGTTAAACACCCAGCCAGACAAATTGTGCAAAAAAATTCTTATATAGGTCTCCAGCAAACCAAATACTAAATGATGCATCGTCTAAAGTTGCTTAATTAGCCCATATTACAGGTTCACAGTTTTAATCACATGCTTTATTGGTCAAAAACACATAAAGACCTCCTCCTAAGGCTCCGATCTGTCAGCTGGCCAACAGTTCTGCTGGTTACTAATGCAGGCAGGTAGCAGCAGTGTTTCGACTTCAGGCCTTGTAAGTTTGCAGAACTCTTACATGCACAAAACCCAATATAACACACATCAGGGGCTCTTTAATATTACGAATGCGTAGACAAGCAAGCATTGTACAAAAGTGGAATATTGGGTCTTTGAAGAACATAAACTTTCAGATACTTTCTTATTTATTGGTTTCAGGACACTTATGGGCAGCAGGACAAGTTGTAAAGACAATACAGATGCACTGTTGTGTTGTAGTTTATATGGCAAATGTGAGCAAACTAGAGCTGCAGCTGATGGTTGTTTTAGCTGTCGACTTATCTCACAAATATTTTCTAAACTAATCAATTTGTAGTTTTTCAGAGAATGATGAAAATGATGGTTTTGTTTTGTCCACAACCCAAAAATATTCAGTCTTAGAGGAGGAAAGAAGTCAAAACGTGTTTAAATTCAGGAAGCTGCAATCAGACAATTTAGATTTTATTCTTGTAAAGTCACAGACACAATCAATTATCAATATAGTTGGTGATTAATGTATTAGCTGACGACTGATTGATTATTCCATAGTCATTGCAGCTGTAGAGCAAACAGTTGTCTGTTCAGAACATTAGCTTTCATTTGAAGTCACGATAATATCCACCTGAGAAACATCCAAAAGTCCAATATTCATTCCATATCTCTATTCGGTTCCTGAGCAGCCACATTATCTGTGAATTTCTCTGACTATCAGTGACTGTGGATAAATGGCTGCAGTGTGTAGATATCTAATGTAACGCAGTTCAAACATTAAGACTGAAAAGCCACATTCAGGCTTTCAAAAAAAAAAACACCACCATCTCCCTGGGCCCCGAGCCATTTTATAGAGCTGCCGCCTTCCAACAGTCACAGGGGAAGAAATCTATTGTAGAAGATATCAATTTGTCCACCTACAGTGGCCTCAATAGGCCACTGAATTGAGGCCACAAGACACACGGCGTGGGTTATTCTTGGAAACATATCAAACGACTGACTGAGGCAGGAGTAGAGGAGACGGGCTGGAGGAAGAAAGGTACAGCGAGAATGTAAAATAAATGTGAAACGCAAAAAAAAACACATCACAGACTAGTGTTTAATGGTAAAGTAGTATCGCTGTCTTTGCTCCTGAGAGTCTGTCTATTAGCCTTGCATCACCTCAATAGCTGACCTGGTTTCTCACGCTATAAAACCGGGAGGCTTTTCTCTTTGCCTCTCTCGCTTTCTGTGATCGAGTCTGTGAGTAATCCTGCCTCCATTCCTCTCTGTCTCACCTAATCCACACTCAAATACCTACTTCTTTATCCCCAGTCTTTTATTGTTTAACAAAGAGAGCCGCAAATTAAAACGTTTCTACGCGGCTTCTCCTGTGCACTCATTGAGTTTCCTCACATCCGGATGATTGACCAGATGGCGACCGCTAATGATGCCGTGGCTACTAGATGAAATGCTGGACGTCAGAGCGACCAGAAGCAGAGGGAGAACGGACTGGAGCAGACTTTGAAACCGTTTATGTTGCATTAAGTGATACGACGTGTGCCAGTGTGGCCATATGCTGCTGCTCACTTCGTCATCCACTTTGGCAAAGATGCTCATAAACTCTCCTGTGGATGTTTACGTATACAGTTGGGTTGAACTCAGTTTCTAAGCTCTCTATAGATTCTATAGATTGATCGACAAGTTGGTTAGAACTCTCTGTATGGCACAAGAATTTTTCAACGATAGTTTTTCGACAGATTATTTCACTACATGACAAAGTATGTCACGTCTTTTGTAGCTTCTAAAAGGCTAATTTCATTCAACTGAAAGTGTGTCTGTAGCTGTATTTTAAGGCCTACCTTCAAACTCAATGCCCATTTGTTTGACACAATAGTACAATCAAAATAAAATCTGTCAATACTTCAATAAAAAACAACAACAGTACGCCAATATGAGGAGGGTGACATATTGTCTGTCTCCTGGAAACAAAGGGACTTTGGTGCGAAAACTGCGAATCAAGCACCGTGTGAAAATGGACCTGCATCCACAGTAGACCGAGTCGTCCATCAACCCAACCCAGCAAAGAGAAACAGCCACTTTGGAAATGTGCATAGAGGCAGAGATGCTACTTTTTGGGGGAAATGTCCTCTTTATCGATAAACTGTTTGGCTATAATTGTTACGGGGAGACCCTCGGGCAGCCGAGCTGGAGGCCGGCGACGGACGAGACGGAGACCCTCGGGCAGCCATTGGAAAAGTTAGGGTTAGGGTTATCCCCACCACGAAGCACGGTGGTGGCAGCATCATTTTGTGGAGGGACTGGTGTGCTTTACGATGGCATCGTGAGGGAGGAAATTTATGGGTATAAGTTGAAGAAACAGCTCAAGAAACGATGCTCATCTATACAATAACTGAGCAAGAAAGCCTACAAACCTGTACAACAGGTCTATCGGAGGAATGAGCAAAAAATACAGCATCTAGTGATGAAACGTTTGTTGGAGGTTACCCGAAATGTTTGCCCCAAGTTAAACAATGGACCCACTGTGTATGTGATCAAAGAATTAAAAGCTAATAGAAATAATTCTCTTTTCTATCTATCTATCCATCCATCCATCCATCCATCCATCCATCCATCCATCCATCCATTCATCCATCTATCCATCCATCTATCCATCCATCCATCCATCCATCCATCCATCCATCTATCTATCTAAGCTTTCTTCAGTTACACAATCTACCCTCTACTGTTAAAAACGACCTGTTAGTCCGTGCTGGTGAGGAGCTGGTGTTTCATTACATAAACAGGACGAGACGCTTTGTCCACGCCGACCTTTCGGTAACCTTGTGTAATAGGAAAACATGTCACATTAGAAATGACTCAATTGAATTGAAAACACGGTGAGGAATGTTTTCTCCCTTTGATCCCCGGAGAGGCATTACTCCTCATCAGTGTTTGCTTACATTGTTAAGATCCCAAACTGAAACCAATAATGTTTGATGGCAGTCGTGCCCTGTTTGACTTCAGCTACATCTCAGACAAGGGGCCCATTCAGAGGTTCTGCCACGACCAGAGAAACCGCACATCAAACGGAAACGGCAAATACGACGTGAGTAAAATACAAATAAAAAACATTACTGTAGATGAATCACGGAGTTACTGATTTGCTAGTTACACACACAAAAGCCGGGCTGCTATTGTCCCCGTTGTGCTGATGGATTTGTTTTGCTGAGAAGCTTTGATTTAGCGCTTAAATAAATCAAGAATCATTCAGAGACACAAAACATCGAGTCGGGTCGCACAAATCTGACTCTAGATCTGCCATGTGGGGCCTTAATCTAATAAACCTAATAACCCAAAATTACAGATACAGAGCACATCCGTTTAATTACAACATTAAACATCATGGTTTGGTCATGAGCACAAAATCTCAAACGATGAATTATAGTTTTTTAAAAAATGAGGCTGCTGATCTCTCACTGCATTCCAAACTCTATTTGCAGAGATTTTCCACCGGGATAACGAACCCTGGAGATTAATTGGAGAAGCTGAGTGCAAACTGGAGCGCATACTTACATAGAGAGGCACTCTCCTCCTGCTCAGCTCCATCTGCACACAAACTGGAGGCAAAGACAGTAAAGTATATGTCTAAGAGTCAAAAGAAGAAGAGGAAAACACATTCCCAGTGCAGCCATGTGACTCCTCATTACCTCTTTGGTTATTTTGGTTATTCTGCCTTTTCCTCTGATCTTGAAGAGATTATCAAAGCTTTTATGTGCCAACCAAAGTCAGGGATCCTCTGAAGAGACAGGATAATCTTTTGATCCCAAGTATGTGAATAATGATTTTAATGATGATACTTTCTGCCTCGGTGTGTAGAGACTGTGCCAGGACACCAAATGTGCTCAAATCTGATATGCAGGCAGTGTAATAATGTGTGTGTGTGTGTGTGTGTGTGTGTGTGTTGGGAGGAAATCGATTGCTGCAGGGTTCAGATCTGTTCTTTATCAGCGACCACTTCCTAAACTGGACACAACAGCAAGGTCTCAAAATACTCCATCAGATGTGTTGTTGTTGTTTTTTAACAGTCGTTTTCTGTCTCTTCCTGTTTTGTATTTATAATCAAGCAATTGCTTTTTTTCCAATTCTATTAAGTGTGCACGCCAAATGACACAGCAAAATCACAGCTGGGATGTTAATGATTCAATAGTGGCTATTTTTTAATCAAACATCACAAGCAGTTTCACTTCAGGTGTATTTAAGTGGATATTCGTGATGATTCAAAGTATTATAACTCAGAGTTTAATGCTGACCCATTTAGCTGCAGAATAAATGGGAGTAAAGGTTGAAAATATGAGCAAAATGTCAAAAGAAACAACTCAGACTTCAGCTCACAGAAGCATTATTAATGCACCTACCTTCACAGGAGATCGAACTCCGGCAGAAGAAACCTGACAGAAATTCTACACAGATAAAAGCCCTCAATTCAGATTCATCCTCCTCATGGAAGCAGCTGGTTCAAGTGTCAGGACACAAGTTAGGAAACAGCCTTCAGTCGCTGCCGCCTGCAGTCTGAGCTCCAGCCTCCTCTGACACAGCAGCAGCAGCATCTCGCTCTTTCTCAGTTGATGCTTTCTGTTCTCCGTCTGCCCAAATGCAAATTCCTCCCTCCGAGGCTAAGTTCGGTGTTTCTTTGGGGCTACAGCGACCTCCAGTGGAGGAAGAGTAGCAGAGAAAACCCCTGAACCTTCACCATCAGTGGAAATTTACCGACCGCGCAAGTGACCCCGTTTTCCAGCCTGTTTAAACAGAGTTCTCCGATCAGTCGTTTTCAATATGACAAAGATTTATTTTTGATTGCTTATAAAACAATGCCGGGTATTGGAGGTGAACTCATTCACGCACTCAAGCACACACACGTACATTCACAAGTGAAAGTGTAATGACAAGACTTCCAACAAAAGCGACGCCTTGCTTTACATCCACGTGTTCAGAAATTCTTCATACAGTCGATGCATGTCCTCTTTGAGTTAAAACACCAGAGTAAGAACATGGCTTCGTCCGTCTCTTAAAACCTGTACCCAAAACGTTTCTGTCTGAAGTCTGTGACATGGAGCCGGTCATGTCAGGAGATGTGTGTCTGATGTTTCAAAAGGAGTTGTAAAGGCACCGTAAGCCAGTCTAAAGCAGTTTGTCCCCTCCACAGGTCTCAGGTGACTTGAGGCTGCGGTCTCGAGGTACTTGCTTCTCCCTGAGACAAGCCGTTGGACTTGCTGACGCTAGAGCACGGCACCTCCATCCTCGGGAGGGAGGACGCAAACATGGTGTCCAACATGCCCAGCACCTCCAGCAGCTCCCTCTGGTAGTCGACCTCTCGCTCTATCAGGTCCTGCAGTCGCAGCAGCTGTCGGTCTATGAGCGGTGACTGGCCGAAGATGGACTGATAGATGTCCAGGATCATCTCAGCCGGTGTGACGAGGACAGGAGTGAACCTGCTGTCGACCAGGTTCCTGGAGAAGAAACAGAAAAATTTATCTATGTGGCAAAATGCTTCTGCATGCAAAATTGAAAGCAGCCACTGATACTGATAAACCAAAACACTGGCTGATAAACATGAACACGAATGAATAAAACACAAATAAGTTGTTGGTCCTTCATGTGCCACCAAAACAGCTCGTAGGAAGCAGATCCTTTATGTCACTTAAAAGTCCCACATTGTTCTCCTTTATGACAAGTTAACAGAAGTCCTACATGTCCTGAGAATTTGTATTTTAAGTTTCAGCTCAACATGCTGCATAGATGCTTCACGCCACCATGCTTTGATGAGTTTTAGTCCCGTTTCAGTGTCAAACCATCACATGCATGAGGGCTCTGCTGCAGACCGTCCAACGCTATCCTGTGAGGGACTTGCCCAACGTTCACAACAAAAACACGGCTGTCCTGCATCCCACAAACCAAGCATGGATGGTGTAGGGAAGAAAGCGACGAGGAATCTGTCAGTAAAGGCATCTGGATGTTTTTTTTTTTTTACTGCACATCTGTAAAGTTGTTTGTGTTTTCAGTCAAACATAAAATTTACACAAGTTCATGACTTTCTGACTTCTAGCAGTTTGCTAAAATATATAAACACCAACAGGGAGCAAACAACTGAGTAGCTGATGGTCATGAGTGTTCCCCTTTCTTCCCTTTCATACCACTTGAAGCCTTTATGAACTCACACACTCCAGCAGTATTTATGGTGTATTGTATATTGTGGCGTTTGGCAGAGAGGAACCCAGAGGAGGAGAAAGCAGCGGTGCTCATCCGGTTGTGAACGCACAACAGGATGAGAGAAACATTTCCTGATCTGTGGAAAACTAAAGAAACGAGGGGACGGTCTGTTCTGTTTGTGTGGGTTTGTCGACACACTCGGGGCACATAATTAAAACAATAGAAAACCGAGACTTTGCATAATGCGGCTCATTTAAGTTGCTAGCTGGAGCCGCCACAGGTCAGAGCTGTTCTCCCAACACCCTGCCGCTGGTTCATGGTTTGTCCTCATCCTCAGGACCTGTAATTTCCAAAACAACTACTTGGTCGTCATCAAAGTTACTCAAGTCTTAACACCTGATCATTTCTCCTACATCCAGCATGATAACAACTAACCGATTGTTGGACCCGATCTCGACATGTGCTGCTGTTGTTTAAACGTATTCGTTTCATTTCTGTGAGGGATCACAACCTTTCAGCACATCGGTGGACGTGAGCCCCTGATAAAGTCTACTTGAGCAGCGGAGTCTTATCTGCGTCTTACCCTATGAGGAAGTTGAGTAACCGAGAGAGCTGCTTTTCATCTCTTCCTGCCAGAGCATTCTTCAGCGTTCCTCTTCGGTCCAGCTCTTTTATAACAGCCACTGGGACCTCAGGCTTTTTCAATATTATCCATTTCTATAGACAAAGTGAATCACACTTAGCAAACATAAAAACTAGAAGGAAGCTGGAGAATTAGTTTTCTGCTGATGCTACGATTGCATCACATGTTTACCTCCAGAGCTGCATCCAAAGCCTTGGACACATTAAATTTCTTCAGCTGCCTGTCATATTTGGCCAAATATTGTTTCACTGGCTTACTGACGAGATAATCATCCTGAGAAAAGAGACGGGAGAGTAATACAAAAAGTCAATGTGCAGAAATAAAAGGCTTCAGCTGTTTTCAGACAGTTAGACTTTAACATTGTTTTATTACACGTTTTGGGGACTAATCGCTCAGCAGAACACACCACGTCTCACACTGCTGACTACAGCTACATTTACCTGTTTAGGGACGTAGTTCTTCCCTTTCACAAAAACCCGATACGATGGTCGCCGCCTCTGCTGGCCGGTTGCGTCCTTTGACTCTTCGGGATTCTTCCTGTGTTTTATACTCAGAATACTGTTGGTCATCCCCACGACAACGGACTCATCGTCCGGCTGAGGAGAACAACACATTCATAGTTCTACTGTCACAAACTGAGATCCAGGCTTTCTCTCCTCCACATGAATCTCTTTGAGAAGCAGCTCTAACAAAGTTCCCTTCATGCTGCGCTATGAGTGATGCAGGCATATGGTAGAACATCATCAGCTTATATGAATATTCATCCCCCTGGTTGTAGCTGTGACGGCGCTTCTTTTTATGAGCTGCACATTTCTAACAAATCGAAGGCTGTGGAGGTGACTGAGAGGGAAAAACGCACAAAGGCCAAAGTGAAATAACATTTTATGAGTTCACTACACTGTGCTCCAGAAAGCCCAAACCAAGAGGAGAGGATGTACTGTTTCATCTCCTTTTGATTCAATTCACAGGCAATACTACATATTCCTGCAGGCTGCCCCAGAAACCGAATCCATCTTTGCAGAGCTGATCTCTTAAATCACAGCTCCATCTATTTTTTGAACGTCTACAGGCCACAGCAGGTCCATCAAGATGCTTCCCACACTGGATGACTACATTTAACCAGCACATAATAATCCTAGTTATTGATTCACCTGTTTAGCTGCATCTTCTTACACTTAATTCATCTCGAATTGCAAAAAGCTCATAAAAGGCAAAGACTGGTTGAATGTTTTTCTTACAGCCAAAGCCAGACTGAGGATCGAGGCAGCGTAGTCGAAGTTGTGGACCACTTTGTAGTTGGTTGTGTTGTACACCTTCACATGCCTGAAAGACAAACAGAGGCTCTGCATTAGATCAGATTCATTCATTCAGTCTTTATTTATCCAGGGTGGTCCAATGAGAGCATGGACGCCCTGTGCACACAGGACAATTCCTAGAAACACAGTTCAACAAGTATCTAGCTGACGTGACAGACGTAGTGGGCTCTGATTTCTGCAGTTTAGAACCTTTTTGTGGTTTTGCTTTGTTAGAAGTGCTTCCGTTACGTACACCTGTCCTGTTACCTGTCCAGAGAGGCTGACAGCAGTCTCTGTCCGTTGCTGCTGAGAGACAAGCAGGTGACGGTTTTGTGATGGTTCCTCAGTGACACCAGAGGCTGGCCTCCTTTCAGCAGATCCCACACCTTCACATAGCGTCCCCCTAAAGAGATTCACAAGAGAAAGTGTGAATTGAATGTGTGTTAACTACCTGGATGCTTATGGGAAAATATGTGTGTGTCAGAGTGCAGGAAAAAGCATAAATGGACTTCAATGCTGTTGTCTTCACTACTGGTTCTTGTTTATGACATTCAATGACACTTTGACCTTTCCTACTTGCCTTGTGTCCTTCATATCAACTTGTTTTAAGCTGAACAAGTTCGATCGAGCTTCCATTAAAACGCTGTTGGGAACTGTATTTGGTCTGACAACAACATTTCCTCGACGTGTTGCGCGAGCAGGACGATTATACTGCCGACTACCTGCAGAGACGAGGAGTCCCTCAGAGGGGTAGAGGAGGAGGCTCTCCACTGGCTGGCCGTGGTCCATGGTCATCACACTCTTATCCACTCTGGCATCAAACACTTTGACGGTGTGGTCATATGACCCTAGAAAGAAAAACAATATCTATTGTTAGCCACAGGAGACCAGATCAAACTTTTTCATCTTCCATCTGCAGTGGCATTTGATTCAACAGTTCAAGAGGAGTGTGACTTTTCAGTTTGTTTCTTCTGCAGACACTGACTTTACACATTAATTATTGCAGTAATATAAGTTACTTGGTTTGTCCTAAAAGCAGAATGTTGAGATTGTTATTCATCTCACACTTGTTTCTTCACAAACTGTGCTGTAACATCTGCTGCTTAAACATCATAGAACTAGTGGTAAATAACACGCGTCAAAAGCTAAATGTTAGCAGGTTTTCTGTGACAAAAGGTCAAAAGCATTCAGGGGAAACACCAAACATTGTTCCTAATGGGCCACAAAGGTAACTCCTGGTCATCCCCTTCAAACAGTGCTTCCATCTCACCCGTGAAGAAGAGGTCTCTGTTGAGTTTGCTCGTGACACCACAGCGGATGTAATCTGTGTGCTCCTGGTAGGTGTTGAGCTCAGCGGCGTTTGGGATGTCCCACAGCCGGCAGGTGTAGTCGTCTGAGCCTGTGAGGATCTGGTAACGGTCTGAGGTGAAGTCTGTCACGTGTACGGCCCTGAGCAAAAATAAAATAAGAGACAAAATTCACATCAGTTCATGTTCATGACCAGGTATTCATAAGTCAGTGAGACAGTCTGTAGGTTGTCAGAATACTTGAGATCATCATGAAATTCAGTCGATGGATCACTCAAGGAATCATCATTCAACAGTTCCTTTACTCCAAACACTACCGTTGCTTAGTGAAAGGCCTCGTGACAGATGGATGAATGGACTGAAACCTATTTTGTAGTTTTGATGGCCGACCTATGCAGCGTGTAGACTTAATAAAACTCTCAGAAACTGGTTCCACTAATTGAGTGAAGATGCGGAAACTTCAATAGTATTATGCATCAGTGATTAGGCTGCTGAAAGCTCAACAGAACCATCACATTTTAGTGCTTAAGCAGAGATCGATTGGACTTCTCTTTGGTTCTTGAGGATGTTTCACCTCCAGTCAAAGGACTTCCTCAGTTCTATAACTGGTGGGGGGGTTTCAAGTATGTAATTTAAGGTTCCCTGTAGCGTGTTACTCACCAGAAACTCCCACAAATAAAGGTTAAGTAAATACTTAAAACTTCCCACCAGTCAGAGCTGAGAAAGAACCTTGGATGAGAGGGGAAACTTCTTCAAGAGCCAAAAAGAAGTCACGTTATCTTGAATCTACACTGATGTGTGTATATATATATATATATAGCATGAACAAGTGCAATAATAGTGACAAAAACTTAAAAAGACACATCTGTGCATTTAGTGATTGTTCTGAAAAACTTTCACTTACTCAAAAGAGAAAATTGGACAAAGGATTTGTTCTCTCACCACAGCTCTGGCCTGAGACTGTGACACTCCCTACATTTGCTGCTAACTTAATCAGCATAAGGGACCAGGAAGAGCCAGAAAGTGCAGCAGGAGGTTGACATTAAGCCTATTTAGTAACGCTCCGTTTTCAGTGTAGGACAACTCAAACACAACCAGACAGTGACATGTATGGCACTTACTTCGTGTGGCCTCTAAACATCCTGAGTGCCACCTTGCCGTCGATGTCAAACAGCCGGACGACGGAGTCCTCGCATCCTGCCACCAGCAGCTGACCGTCTGACCTGAACCTGCCACAGTACGCAGTGTCCTTGAACCGTGTAAATGTCTTGACAGGCTCCTGGGAAAACGGCCCATAAATGTGGATCTGTAGAGAAACAAGTGTTAGAATGAAAACAAATGCTTTGCTACTCATCAAGGACTGAACCGAACTAGAACTGTTTACAAAGCGAACACCGACAGAACTGAATTCATACAAATAAAGCCAACGTACTCGTGTGAATGCAGTCACGGCAAAGTTATGAGGAGCCACGGGGGAGAAGTCTATGTTTGTGATGGCTCCAAATTCTTTAATCTGGACTGGAGCCTGTGAGAGAAAGGAACAAAGTTATATTGTTGCGATTGAGAAACAAATTTAAAGTTGTACTCGAACACAGAGCATATTACAGGACATCCATCAGTGTACAGTCATATTAAAATAGTGCACAGCGGTGGAGACTAACCTTGTAGTTTTTCCAGTAGAGCGTATCTTGTGTGACTTTCTCTCCAAGTTTTGGGTAAACTGGGATTTTTGTCGGTTTAAAGGAAGCCATTTCTGTAAGGATCACAGAATCACCTTTACCTGTGAGGATTCAGAGAGGAACAACATAAAACTACGACACCTGGGTTAGTCGACATCTTAAACTTTGTAGCGACTGATTTTTATTATTTTTTTTAAACAAACTGTGCTGTGAGGCTTAATAATAGTCAAATCTTCTCTAGTTTTCTGTCATCAAATACTCAAAAATATGTCAGATTAAATCTTGGGGGAGTGCTACAAAACTGTTATTTTAAGCTGATTGTTAAGGATTCGTGCTGCCTAAAAACACATGTTGATTATTTCCTTCAGTGCTGCTTCAACAGGCCAAAGCAGAATACGACAGTCAGACGGACTTTTTACAACCGTTTAGCTGTTTATGGACAAACGTGGTTATTGTTTTGATCCACAAGAATAAACTCTGCAACAAGCAGTTCTCGCCTACAGCCACATAGACTGAACGAAATAGTTCACGTTAAACTTTTTTGCCAAACAGAATCATAATTCACGAAACTGTATAATAATTTTCCTGAAAGCTAACTGCTTCACTACAAACGGGTTTTATTTCTAACAAAGGGGTTTAAAAAATTAAAAATGCCATTACGCTCCTGGTAGCTGAAAATATCTGTATATACTGGTTTGCAATTAAAAGCAGCTTTAAAGACAGCCAGTGACCCAACGTGCTCAACACAGCACAACTCAGTTAGCAAGTGAGCTTAAGCCGGCTAGCATTTCCTATTAAACCGCGTTCTGTTGATTCTCACCTTTGAACTGAAACGTCCAGAAGCGCGAACCTTTTTCTTTTTTTTAAGGTATGATGTACAGAAAATAGATGATACCGATATGGGTTTGTTTAAGTAAACCAAAAGTTGCTCATTTTAACGAGTGATCACGTTGCCTCTCCGAGCACAGGAGGACGCCATGTTTATCAACGTAACTACGTCTTCTCCTTCTACGGACACATTCGCGGCAAACGGGAAGCTCAGTGCTGCCCTCCACCGGCAGCGAAACGGAAGGACTCACTTCAGCTCATGTTTCAGAGAATAATCCAGTTCAACACAAAACAAACTCACACACACACACACACACACACACACACGCACACACACACACACACACACAAAACTCAAAACTGTTTTTTATTCAGAAAATTCATCATCAATCAATAAAACTTTATTTAAACGTCCCTTTACAAACAAATCAAAGGTCAAAAGTTTTACAGATGCAGTTCGAATTTTTAACAATCGATTATAATTTTTAACAAGATTAAATTACTATTTAAGACATTAATTGACAAGCACAATCAGCTCTCACCTGTAAGAAAATAGACTTAATAGATAAAATTCAAATTTATTGGTAGGTGCCATTAGAAAATAATTTCTTTTTTTTTTTTTTTACGATCATTTATTTCGAACAATAAATACCTTTGTGATCATTTTTTCCTGAACGTCAACTAAAAGCCTATTTGTTCAGTCTGGGTTACATGTAGCGTTTTATAATTTACCAGCAACTGACAAAACTTAAGATGGCAAAAATAGATTTAGAGACTACTACACACCAAAGCGATCAAATGATTTTTTAAAAAGCATTTAATAAGTAGTCTAGATATGAAAAGATAAATAAAAGATAATACAACTAATAAAAAAATATTTCTCAAATGTAATGGATTATATTAAAACAATAGAATGGTAAATAAACAAACTAAATTACTATATTGAGTAACAAGATTAGCTTAAGTGTTCTTGTTGTTCTCCTTTTTCTTCTTCTCCTCCTTATTCGTCTCATTTTTCTTGCTGCTGCCAATAAAAAGATTTTGCAATATGGGATAAATAAGAATTTCCTTCGAGATGAATTAAGATCCATCTTATCTTATCTAATTTTAACTTTACGGTCGTATTAGGCTGATATGAGCACATATTGTGAAAAACTGCGGAGGCATGCGGTTCCTTTGTATGTCCTGACGTCACTTCCTCTTTTCCCTCCTTTCTCCGAGATTCTGTCGACTGTGTGACCCGCGTGTTTACACTCTCCCAGGTCAGTTCACGTCTGTCTACCCTTTAAAGCTGTCTCACACTCATTCCATTTTAACAGAGTAAATAACGAACAACCCCCCTGTGGCATTACGCGATTAAATTCAAGGAAATTATCGGCTGTTTTTGCTTACTAGCACAAGTTTGAAGAGGCCCAAGCTAGCTTTTTAGCTTGATTTGCTAACTAGCCGGTAGTTCAGTTGACATGAGCATCAGGTTTGAAAAAAAAAAAAAGAAAAGCTTTTAAATCTCAGATGCTGGAAGATCAGGCATAAGCCCACCGACTCGTCATGACAGTTTATGGAAAGCAAGCTTGCGAAATTTGGTGGTGTGGCTCAGCTTCGTTTCGAGCCAAACTTAGCCTCTAACTTTAGCAGCCCACCTCTGTCTGATTCAAGCAGAACTCGAGTCGAGACGTAAAAAAGTGTGCAGCTATTTTTGGCCTTCTTGCAGCTGCGCATTCTTGTTAATTTCTTTGCGTCAAAAGGCAAAAACGAAGGCGGGGACTGGGACTTTTGGGTTTGACACTTGATAGTAATTATAAACCACGCTTCCTGTGAACCGCTGAGAAAATACATTGAGTCCTAACGCTGTTATCAGCTGCCAATTTGTCAGGCATGACTAAAATACCACTTCATAGACTTCTCTATCACTTTAAGATCTAACCAAATCAAATCAAAAAGAATAAGTTGACAACCAGAGTTAAAAACAAAGACATTTTTGAAAGCACTACTATTGATGTTGGAGAGAAAAAAACTGACATATTTAGTTTTCCTGCAAAAGGAAAAAAATATGTAATAATTTTCAACATGGTAAATGGACTGCACTTACACAGCGCTTTTCTACCTCAGCGGCACTCAAAGCGCTTTACAATGTGTGTCTCATTCACCCATTCACACACACATTCATACACCAACGGCAACAGAGCTGCCATGCAAGGTGCTGCCTGCCATTAGGAGCATCTTCAGGTTCAGTGTCTTGCCCAACTGTGAAGGGGCTCAAACTGCCAACCTCACGATCAGAGGACAACCCGCTCTACCACCGCCGCCCCCAACATGTGGCTTGAATAACTCTTTGTGGTGCTGATTCAAACCCAACCGAGTATCTGTTTTTGTTCAACGTCCTTGTTATTGACATATTTCCAGACAGCTGACGCTTCTTTTTGCCACCAAATCTTCCTCTTTCTGTTTTTGTTTCCCTTCCAATTCCCTGTGCTTTAAGTACAGTTTAAAAAAAAAAAAGAAACCCTCACTGTGTTCCCCTAAAATGGAGTCAATTCTGATATATCAGACACTTTTGTAGATGAGTCATGGGAAATGAGAACAATGCAAGCTTAGTTTTTCTTTCATGCAGAAAAACAAACAGTATCGCATGATGTGTTTGACTTAATTTTGCTGAACTGTAATGTTGGTGCTGAAGCGATATATTACGCAGCTCTAACCGACATAATTGTCGCAACTTCTACAGGATGACAGCTGGGTTTTTATGCATTTTCCTGTCTGTGTATTGTGAGAATTAACTTTTTCCCAAATGACTGATTTGTACGCAAAGATTACATTTTGTGATATGTTTGTCTCTTATGTCAGATGAAGGAGTCGATAATGAACCAGGAGAAGCTTGCCAAACTGCAGGCGCAGGTCCGCATAGGCGGCAAGGTGAGTCGGAGCGCATGCTGCCAAATAACTGCTGTCTTTAGGTGATGGGTTCATATAGAATGACTCGTTGTTGTGCTTCGTAGGGGTCAGCGCGCAGAAAGAAGAAGGTTGTGCACAGAACAGCAACAGCAGACGACAAAAAGCTGCAGTTCTCCCTGAAGAAGCTGGGAGTCAACAACATCTCTGGCATCGAGGAGGTAAAGCAAGTTGTTTGTGTGAAGTACAGCAACAAGTAAACACAAAAGTATTCCTCATTACGTTGTTGTTTTTAAGTTTAGTTTCATCAATTAAACACTATCAGGAGTATTAAATATGTTGCACAGTGACACCAAATTGTGATCAAATGACTCCCCTTCGGTTCTGTAGTTTAATGCTGGAAAAAAATGGCTAATTAATCAATTAGTGAAGAAAGGACAGTGGGGAGAAAAGGACACAATTTGTCCAGTAGGTTATTTTTAGGGTTATAAAGCATAGATGGTATAAGCATCTTTTGAGCTCGGGATTGGTATCATTGATTGGAAGCAAGTGGTTGTTACGTCAGCAAGAAAATAACATAAGAGGAGGCAAGAAAGACCAGGTACATTCTTTGAAAAGTGAGTATCTAAATTAATCCATGGCTGAAATGGTGTTTAGCAAAAGTAGGGTCATTGCATCATCCTCTTTGATACTCACCTCACTGCTTATTCTTTTTCCTTTTGTTGTTCACTTCAGGTGAATATGTTCACAACCCAGGGGACAGTGATCCATTTCAACAACCCAAAGGTTCAGGCCTCCTTGGCTGCCAACACTTTTACAATCACAGGCCACGCTGAGAACAAACAGCTCACAGAGATGCTCCCAGGAATCCTCAACCAGCTGGGAGCCGACAGTCTCACCAGCCTCAGGAGATTAGCAGAGACTCTGCCCAAACCAGGTACGACTGACGCTCCTGTCTTGGCATGTGTTGTGTGTAGGAGTTTTGTGTGCTGCCTGTTAACAATTCGCCTTCTGTCTCACCCCTCCTCGCAGCCGGTGAGAACAAAGCCCCCATGGTTGCTGCTGAAGAGGAGGACGATGAGGTTCCAGGTAAGCAAATTTAAAACAGATGAACATTAATGCTGTAATATACTGTTGCATGGAAATGACCACATTGAAAAGGCTTATCTGAACATTTGCATTTCGTGGACACGAAAGCAAACATTCTAGATCAGTCTCTTGTGACCTGAATTACTTGGAACATATTTGCCCTTATTACATCTAGAAAGTGTCGTCACAGTTCATCTGGATGTAAGACAAGCTTCTGTCAGTGAAGGGATCGTTTGTTTGTTTTTTTTATGAGGTGCTTATCGATGATCAGTTACAGTAAATTACAGCGCCACCAGTTTAGAGAAGCAAACAGGAGGAACAAAACATAAGCAAAGCAACAAACTGCTATGGATGGGGGCTGAAGCAAAGCAGCCACCTATAAAGGCCCAGCGACAACATCAGTATTAATGTTCACACTGCTGTTGCTTGCCATCAGACGGCCTCGTTTGACAGGAAATTGACACTTTTATGTCGCTCCGTTTAAAGCTGTAACACTCTGTTGACTCAATCCATAATTTTGCTTTATAGAAAAAGAGCTGCTGGACTGCCGTTGACTCGATCAGTTAGTTTGTTAGTGCCGCTGTGTACAGATCCAAACTAATAAATGACACTGAAATCGCTCAATGACTGGCAAACAACTTCTGTATTCTGTAAAATCACTAATTCTCGCTGCATGTTTTGGTGGCTCTGAAAGGAGCGATATGACTGCCTCAATTCCTCGTAACAAGGGGCAGTCTGGTAGTAAGTGAAAGTGCTGAAAATAGTCTAAATCTCTACATTACACTCATGTTGTTGGGATTTTTTTTTTGCTTTTCCAAACAACAGCCAACTGTGATCGAAAGTAGATAATAAACCAACTACTCTACGTCCCTCATACCACCTGCCCTTCACCCTTTAAGTCAGAGCAATGATATTTTTAACAGTTATCAGTTTTATTTTTACGAATCTTGTGCTTACTGAGACGTTTTCTTGCCCTGACGTGTTTTCTGTCTTCCAACCATCTTCATCCCTCTGTCTCCCTTTTCAGATCTTGTCGAGAACTTTGACGAGGCTTCTAAGGACGAGGCAAACTAAAAAAAAAACACCAGCAGATATTTCGGAGCTCCTCTTGACTCACCACGATTTGGCTCAGCGGCATCCCGTTCATCTGTTGTTGCTCTGTGGCTACAAACACAAGTTGCTTTTTAATTGTAACTGAAACAAGTGGACTAAAACGAGTAAAAAAAATCAACTGTTTTTTATAGAAACCGGCTACGTACACATCTATCTTGTCATGCAGTGCACGTGAAGTTATTTAATTCAGCAGAACAATGTGCAAATCCTCCTCTTCCTCACGCTGCCTCTCCTGTATTATCACGCCACACGTCAGAAATGTATCGGTGGAATGAATCATGTAATAAAGATTAAAATTACATTTCTCATTTGTGTTACGCTCTGCCAGTTCTTTCCAACTGTTGAATGAAAAGCATGTTTGTGTCGTTAGACTTAAACTCATAGTAGTGGCGCTCTAAATTCAGAATAAAACAGGTTTGTAGTCAGTGATGCTCTTTACTAATAGAAGGAACATAAATAGGTGGATGAAACACTTTGAGCTGTATCAAATCAAACTTTATTTATACAGCACTTTTCATGCATAGAGCAACACAAAGTACTTTACAGCATTAAAAACTGTCAAAGAAGGAAAAGAGACAAGAAAAGCCATCACTCCCACCCTCCATGTATACACATATGGCTACACACTCACACACACACTCTCACCACTGACCATAGGGCAGGGGTGTCCAATCCTGGTCCTCGAGAGCCACAATCCTGCATGTTTCAGATGTTTCCCTCTTCCAACACACCTGATTCAAATGATCAGGATGGTTGTCAGGCTTCTGCAGAGCTTGATGATGACCTGATCTTTTGAATCAGGTGTGTTAGAAGAGGGACACATCTAGAACATGCAGGATTGTGGCCCTCGAGGACCACGATTGGACACCCCTGCCATAGGGATAAGACAAGGGACAAGATAACGAATGAATGATAAGGACGTAAAGAATTTAGAAGGTCAGTTAAAAGCCTGATTAAAGAGGTGCGTCTTTAACCTTCTTTTAAAAATATCTCTGCAGTCCTGAGGCTCTCCGGCAGGCCGTTCCACAGGTGGGGGGCCGTAGTGGCTAAACGCCGCCTCACCGTGGGTTCTGGTTCTGGCTACTGGTGTGGATGAAAGGCTGCTGCCGGAGGACCTCAGGATCGATATGGTAAAAGCTGTACCAGGAGAAATACACGTATTGGACCTGTGATGACTACAGAACTGTTTGAGTGCATTCAGAAGCATTTAACAGACAGATACACAATCTACCGTGTTCAATGTGGAGTACGTGACTGTCATAATGTCTTGAAGTAACACAAATGTCACATCACATCACACCGTTGGCTAATTTTTTAATCATTTTGACATTTAAATGACAGAATCACCTCACTTCTGTTTTATTCTGTAAATGGTAAAGAAATCCTCTGGATTCCCAGCAGCGTTTCATTATGTGTGTTGTACCTCCTGAGAAGTCTTCAGCAGTAAATGGTCTGTGAGAGCTCTGTCATAGTGAGATGTGAGTAACTTTTCCATATGATTTGCCACAAGAATGTTTCCTGTCCTTGTGGCGGTTTGGTTTTATATCTAAATGCTTTGCTGGAAGCATCAGCAACACGCTACGGTTTTCAGAGGATTAGTCTGTGTAGGAAAGTTCTACGTCAGGACCAAGGTGACCCTAAATGACATTAGACATGTGATTGCATTTTATCTGTGATACTCAACAGACTGACAATCCATCTGGTGAAGTCCTACATGAACCGAGATGCTGTTCACTCTTGTCTTGGGCAGCACAGATGAGCTCATCTGTTTTAATGGACTGAAGTGACCCCAGAGCTCGACACAGTGCTGAACATTGTGAAGAGATTTATGTTTTTTTATTTTAGGTTTCATACTGAGTAAGGCTTTGAACTGACTGACTGGGACTTTCTCGCTTTGTTAGCATTTATTCATCTGATTTAAAGGAGAAAAGAAACTGGGTGACTCAAAAGCGTCTCTTAACTTCAAAGCACTCAAAAAAACCACTTGAAGTCTTTATCCTCCATCTGTATCTGTGCTTCTGTGTTTTGTACTGTACTGTTGTCGGCTGCTGTTGCAAATCAAATTCCCCAAATTGGGACAATAAAGATTTTCTAATCTAAAAAAAAAAACAAAAAAACAAAACAAAACTAAAGAAATAGACATTTAACTGAAAGGACGGCATATAAATATACACTACCAGGTTAAATTCACACCTGAACTCAAATTGTAATCTCAGTTTAACCCTATTCAGGACTTTTGGACTTCAGGCCAGTTAGTTTAGGTGACAGGTTTTGGTTTTTTTTTTATTATTTTTGCAGATTTTTTTTAAATATAGAAAGAGGGACATGTACATTTGGAACCAGAAAAACGTCAACTTATCAGAAAATGTATTTAACATAGTATAAACGTCTATAATGAATACCAACAAATATTTTGCACGTGTTCTTTCTTGGAGCCCGATGGACCCGTAAAGACCTTCTGCGTATGAAAGTCCCGAATAGGGTTGAGAAAACAAGTCTACTGTAGAATCCAGAAGTGGCACCACTAAGACGAATTCTGTCCTTAATGAACTGATTCATTTGTGCATTTAGGTTTCGAAGGTGAATTTAAAATAACTGAAACTTTTTTGCTCTCTAATATTAAACCACTCTCTACCACAGTGACATGAATAACGCTACTGAGGATTTTAGGGAACTGAAACCGACTATTTCTGTTCAAACTGCCTCACAGGTTTCGCTGAATTTTAAGTCAGCAGTGTAGTGACAATATCCATGTCATGCTGTGGATGATAAATTTACCCACAAGCATGTAGAAGGACGAGGAATTATAACACCAAACGCAGGCCTCGGGCGAGTGGAAATACTCCACGCACAGCATGACAGAAACGTATGATGCAGCACGTGTGAGGATGAGCACATGAGTGATTTTTTTTTTTTTCAAGTGAGAAGTAAATGGCTTGTCCTGTTGTAGCTGACATTTGGTTGAACAAAACTGGGCTGTCCCGTATGTAACTAATGGTCAGGGGAAGTCCTGCTGGGTGTCTCTGTCTCTCTTTTCCTGTGTGAAGTAAGTGTGAACGTGCTGCAGCTTTGCATTAAACGCTCTAATAGTGGCGTGATCGGGGGAAAACCTCCGAGAGTGTGCTGGGGTCCTCTCTAGTAATCCGACAGTATTTCTGAGATTTGAGTGGAACATTAGGGGTCAGAGTTCCATTTAAAATCAGTGATATGTGGTCACTACTGCAAACATGTTATTATCTGTTAATCTTACAGTTCATTTCTCAATCAAGTGACCCGTCAAGTGAGAGGAAACTGTGAAAAATCTCCCATTCAGTCACATTCACGCTGCTTGTTTTGTGTGATCAACTGTCAAAAAGCCAAAAAATCTGTGTTGTACACAAAAAGCCACGGTATTCACATTAGAGCTGTCATGTTAGAGATATTGGATAAAGATTCAATTGTCATAAATGTCTGAAGGTCAGATGTGTGTGTCCTGTTTGTGTGTGTCCGTATTTGCTCATCAGACACCGACTTCTTGGACGCTGTGCTGCCCCGCCGTATTTCACATTAAAAGCCTGGGGGCAACCCCCCACCTTTATTCCCACCTACGTTTCTTATCTCGATCACGCAGTCCTCTTTTCACACCTTATCTGTTCAGAAAATTTGACATGCAAAACGGTGCAGAGGAAATGCACAACTGGCCATCTCTGTCAATGCTATCAGTTAAATCTGTCAGTTTCCCTCACACCTCTGTGTGCGGTGGCGGTGATGATGAGGATGATGATGATGAGGGTGATGATGCATGCGGTGGTTAACCATATAAAAATCATGCTCAGTGGACCGTTAGGGCATACGATCATCAGGGTGGCTACGGCTGAACTTCTGCTCCTCCTTTGTTTGTTGCATCACTTCAGTGTAACTTCATTAAAATGGTAAGAAACAACTACAGAGAATCAAAGAGCGTTACATGCTCTAAGTACTTTTTTTTTATTTATTTTTTTTAAAATATACTTATCTGGTCAGTTAATGTAATTGTTTGTAGTAATTGTAGAACAAGGAGCAAACTGCCAACTTTGCTTTTGTTATCATTTTGTATTATTATAACACATTTTCTCAACTTAAAGCATTAAGCCAACTGAAATCCCAGCAGCACTTTTATATTTTGTTTCCCAGCTTAACATGAAATATGTAATAGAAAAATCACAGGATAATTATTTAGGTTTTAATGCATTTGCAATAATCCTCCTCTAACCCTCCACAGAAGACCTTCTCTCTGTGGATCTCTGGGCTTCTGCTGATCAGCCTCACAGGAGCACATGGACTCGACTACTTTCCAGAAAACCGTATGTCTTATTTAGGATACACACATTTCTCTTTTTTAAAAAAAATCTGCTAATCATGCCTTGTTAATAAATGTATTTGTTTTGCGTGTCTGTGTAGTTGTGGTGGCAAAAGAGAACGATGTAAATCCCATCAAACTGACCTGCGGTACGACGACCAAAGAGACTGTCACATGGAAGCATAAGGGTGAAGAGCTGGACGAGGACAGCGTGGAGGAAGGCGTCGAGCTGAACGGTTCAGATCTGATCCTGTCTAAAGTAGAAACCCCCTTGGTGGGAGAATACAGCTGCTGGAGAGGAGAGAAGATGCTGTCATCATTCCATGTGCTGCTGGAGAAGGAGGAGGCGGGTGAACTAGGTAAGAGTGTCCTTACTGTTCATATCCTGTAAAAGGCTGGAATTTCCTAAATAGATGAGCATATAGTGCTGATGTAGTAACACAAAGCAATGACAAGGACACCTCTAAGTCTAGAAACTGTGTGTCTGTCTGGAGGAAACATTTTTTTCACCAGAAGAGGAGACAGAAAGTGATCACAGTCTGAACTGTTGTATGAGACGCTGCCTCTTCACGTTTGTTATCTTTATAGAGTCCTTCATGAGTTGTCGAGCAAAGTCCTACAACTGTAGCTTCAGCTGCACCTGGAACCGCACCGGATACGCAGCAGTGCGTCTTGGACTGGGCCATGACTGGTAAAGACAAAAACAAACAAAAACCACAGACAAGTTAGACCAACAAGCAGACATGGACGTACCTTTTTGAGTTACATGTCTCCCTCAATTCCTGTGTTGTATCTTGCTTTGTAGCCGTCAAGGTTTGAAGTCTTGTCAGTGGCTCGGCAGCAGCAGCAAGAAGATCCAGAACGGGGCGTTCCAGTTTGAGCTGCCTCACTCCCTCTCGCCCTACGCTGAGGAGAGCAGCCGGCTTGAACTCACCGCCGAGGCCATCAGCATCAACAACCAGTCGGTCCTCAGGAGAAACAAGAACTTCTACCTCCGAGACATCAGTGAGTGACACTGAGCCACAGTAAAGGCATTCAGCAGAAGGTTATCTAGCGTTCAGCATCTTTTGAGAAATTCACATTGATCCTAAAGGGTAGAATTAAACACTGTAGTGCAAATGATCAGTTTAATTATTGGGTTTCATTCATTCATTGTTCAATTTGGCAATTTTATAATGAAGTAGAAAGTCTGTTGAAACTTTCCACGTTAAATGAAATGATTTTGAAACAAGAGTTGTGGACTCAGCTCAGAGAGGCAGCATTAATATTAAAGTACAAAAAAGCAAAGAGGGCAAATGCTAGCAGTCCTTTTTTTTGTGTGTTAATTCATATTCAATTCAGTTTTATTTGTATAGTTACGACATACGTCATCACACAGCGCTGAACAAAGTGAGGTACAGACCTTACACATTGAAATAGAAAACCCAGCAATCCAAAGTAGGCTTTGGACTCCCTTTGAGCAAGCTCCCAAAGGAGGAGGAAAAAAAAACCTCCAGCAGAACCAGGCTCAGCGGAGACGACCATCTGCCTCGACCAGTAGGGTGAGAGTCGGGATGAGGGGGTTGCAGGATATTAGATGGAGAGCAGCAACAGAAAAGAACAATAAATATGAAGTACTTTGGGGGTCGGTGAGGCCAGAGGCTGGAGGTCGGAGACGTGAAGCTCCGGATCCAGAGACGTCTGCAGGGAGAACAAGCCCAGGACCTCAGGAAAAACAGAGCTAGTGACATGTGATGGTGGTTATAACTGTATGGAGGAGAGGAGAGGAGAGGAGAGGAGAGGAGAGGAGAGGAGCCCAGTGCATCATGGGAATCCCCCGGCAGTCTAAACCTATAGCAGCATAACTCAGGGACAGTTCAGGTGATCCTGAGCAACTCTACCTATCAGCTTTACCAAAGAGGAACGTTTTAATTCTAATCTTAAATTAGAGAGGAGCTGATAACTGAAGGCTCTTCCTCCCATTCTGCTTCTGGAAACTCTGGGAACCACAAGTATGTCATATATGTCATATATATGATATATGACACACCACATATGTCTACTTTAATCATTTGGGTCCATTTACTGTTGTTGTTTTTCTTCTGTCCAGTTCAACCTGACAGTCCCAAGATTGTCAGGTGTCAGGCGGTGGACCAGGAGCTGAACGTGACCATTGAGCCACCATCCACCTGGTCGGCTCCTCACAGCTTCTTCACTCTGGAGAACGAGATTGAATACAGGCTGAAGGACGACGACAAGGTGGGCTAAAGCTCACACCCGAACAGAACCTGATGATGTCTACATGTCTGTCATTGTCTCCGCTGTATGTTTTTCTCATCGTGTGACTTGTCTGACTTTAGAGGGGACGTTCTTCATCGACTCTGATACCGAAGGGGATCAGCCAGCTGAGGGTCCGCTGCAGAGACCCGCTGGTGGTCTCAGCCTGGAGCCAGTGGACTCCCTGGAAAAACGTAACCTGCTGACATTGTTTGAAGCCAACGCTGTCAGCTCTCGCTCTTTCTGTGTTCTGACACGTCTGCAATGTCCGCTCGCGTCCTCGTACCTGTTGTTGTTGTTTTATGACGTGTTCACCTTCATGTCCGTTTCTCCTCCTGATGGCCTCCAGACAGCACAGCACCCACATGTTGGTTTCATTTATATTTATTTACAGAGAATCAGCAAAACACACTTTATTTATGATTGTACTCAAACTATTTATTTGTGTGTATTTATTTATTATTTATTATTTATTTTAAATTACATGAACAACAAGTAGAAAGACAAACTATTATATATTTTTTTATTTTTTATTTCTTTAAATTAAAGGACTGAAAATACTCCCGCCACAACACAGACAGTTTTGTGATTCAATATGAAATAAACATATCAGATCAGGTTTGACGGGTAGATTTGTCCATTTAAGGACACTATTAACTAATAAACTCCACTTAATGCTCAACTGAACATGAATCAGGAGTTAAACTTTAAGGAGTCCTGCTCGGTGAGACCTTTAGACGGACTTCTCACATTTCTTGTCCTTGTTATTTCTGTATCAGTGTGTGGGTGTTTCCGTGTATTTCTGTGGTTTGCGCAGTGCAAACCGAGTGGCTATTAAAAGAGCTTTGTGCTTCCTTCCTTGTACACTCTATGTTCATTCTTTATTTGTGTGTTGCTTGTGTCATTTGTACAGCGACTCCCTGGACAAATAGAAAGTCCCATTAATCGCAATGCCGTGGAAACTCACATTCATGTACATCGTGTGTGTGACAGTGGACACAAGTGAGTGGAGGCAGTTTCCTGGACAGTTAATCGTGTCAAAGGAGCAGATTTGAGGTCACTTGTTTGGAAATGATAATTAGCTTTTGTAATAAAAGGGAAAGGGAAAACGAGAGGGAAATAAAATTTTACAGACACAAAACTGAAAGCAGTTTTTTAGCTACTAATCAGGATATATTATTATTAGTCTTGTTCTTCTTTTTAATATTATTATTAACACAACGGTAAACCGGTACACATGTTACTGTTTATTAAAAACTGGAGGTCATTTAGCTGTTTTTTGTTCTTCATTAATTAAAAATCAGAGCGTTGAATGCTTGACTGTCACAAAGACAAAGAGCACACATGACCTGGCATCTTGTTGAGTAGCATAAAACTCTTTTAAACAAAGAAACTCAATAGAAATAAGGGTCTTTAGTTCAGAACATAAAGCAAACAATGTGACATTTTTTTCATTTTTAAAACATTAATGAAACGGTCAGTGAGAAGCTCGTAGAAATGTAGATTCTCTGAGATGAATTACAGTAAACAAAAAGCAAAAAGGTGTCATAACTCCAGACAGATGTGTTACAGATGATGTTTTTTGTGGAACGTTCTTTAACAGGTGATGATTTCAGTTTGTTATTTGCTTTAAAATGTGAGCATGTTGAATGTCAAACAAAAAAATGCAGCATTTAGTTTGAAAAAAGTAAATCATTGAACTGTTTTTGGGACAATTTTACATCGAGTCACCTGGAGCAGAGCTTACCTGTCTTGAAGCTTGCACAATAAATCATGCTTGTGCTGAGAAAAATCATTCTGCAACGTGGATTTAACACGACATGGCTTCACAGTGATTCCTGATATCCAGAACCTGAGCTTGCAAAAAGAAAATGATTCTAGTTTTGAGCAAGATTCAAAGCATTGCTGATTCACCTTCAGACCCTAATCTGTCATTAACTCATTGCAGGTGAGAACAGGGAGAGAGGTCCCATGTCAAAGCAGAAAGAAAGGAGGGAAGAAGAACAGAAAGAAGAAGCAAGAAAAAAGAAAGAATCAAGATGCTGGGTTGAGTCAGGCATCTTGAAAAGGGACTGTGCGGCTGGTGCACCGATTTGGGAAAAGGCAGAAGATATTTTGGATATTTATAAAGTAATTGAATTGTACCGTTGATGTGTTGGGTCAGGCTGAAGATTCAACACCGGAGAGCATAAAGATTTTGGATTTCTAAAAGCATAACATCATGAAATTCTCTCACAACCAAGACGTCCCGCGCTACAGGCTGACTGTTGTGTTCGCTAATTGGGTCAGTTTAACGGGAAATTTATTTAAAGTGAGTCCCTGTGACAAGCTTGAGGGCCCTTCTGTATTACAGTGTTGTACTTTTGCACATTCCCAAACTGGCACTTTCACATCCCTGCACTGGATAATAAAAGTGAGTGATAGCAGACTTTCATTTGTCTGGTTTCAGATTCGTACATGATGTGATGGTTCATTAGCAGACTCTCATGACAGGGACAGAAAACAGAAAAGAGAACAGAGCAGCACAACACTTGAAATATGCTTAAGCTCTTTCCTGTCAAACGTCCCATAAGGAGTTTGAAACCACTCTAATGACTATACAATAAATGTGGAGCTACTGCCAGCAGTGTGTTAGCTTAGCTTAGCATAAAGACTGCAAAAACTGTCCAGACATGACAATGTACACAACACAGCCCTCTCCAGCTGACTAATCACAATTATTTTAAGTGCTAATTAAATCTGACTAAATTAAACATCAAAGTTAAGACCGCACAGTATTACCAGCTGTGTTATTTTACCTGAATAATTTAAATATAAGTAAATATTAAAATGAAGACTGTAAAATACTGATTGGCCACAGTTATTTAAATATTGTGGTGTATATAAATTTAATGGCGTATATAATATAATGTATATAAAATACAAATTAACCTGACTAATTTAAATATAAAAGTAAGGAACCTACAATATAATGTACATTCAGACCTCTTTCAAAATTAGAATTAAGACCTTTTCAGAGGTGTTCAGTGTTCCTTGTTCTTGTGTAAAATTAGGCTTCATTAGGCTTAATTAACCATTTAATTATTAAAAGAAAAAAAAGAAGCAGATGTCCAGCTGTATCGGGGGCACTAAGGGGGGCTTCGGGGTCCCAGCAGCTGCTTTTTGCCCCGCGAGCCCCCCTCACAGGTTAATCCGTCTGTGCGCTACACGCATGCGCAGGAAAAGAAGCGCGGAAGTCACTGCGAACCTGCTGCTGCTGCTCATATGATTATCCACCGACAGCAGCGCGCCTACAAATGCACGCCTAAAGGATAGAAGCACACGGAGGACTCGTCTCGGAGCTCTGCAGATGTCCTGAACATGTCCAATGTGGCCCAAACCGCAGCTTTAATCTTATACCTGTGGAGCGTTTTCGTGCAATTCAGCCGCACGACAGGTGAGTGAGAGGAAGGAGGAGGAGGAGGAGGAGGCTTCACACGCCAGGAAACGGCTCGTTTAGCTAGCAGTCCACGTCCGGAAGCTGCTTTCTCATGATTCGTCATGAACTGTGAATTTCCATCTCCTGTCACCCTGCTGCTGCTGCTGCTGCTGCTGCGGTGGTTTACTGACTTCCCGCTGATGATGCAATCCTCATCCCTGACAGAAGCCAGACCTCTGAACTGTTCCTGTTTTTGTTTCCTCCAGGTCTTGGGGTCAACGAGCTGCTGTATTTTCGGGTCATCAGTCCAGAGGAGATCGGGTACATTTTCAGCGCTGCGCCTGCTAAAGACTTTGGAGGAGACTTTGTGAGTGCTCTGCTCTGTTCTCAGTGTTTACGCCTCAGATGCGCATGCTCACTCAGCCTCTAATCGTGTTCTCTTGTTTGCCCCTCAGACGTCATCCTACGATGAGATCTTTCTTGTTCCAGCAGAACCTGCAGACGGCTGCTCAGAACTGAAAGACAGAGAAATCCTGCAGGGACAAGTGGTCCTGGTGGAAAGAGGGTATGCACACAACACCTTTACCTGCACCTGTATCAGCCATAGAGGCTGTGAGCACCGAGCAGTGGGGGGAAGCTTCAAGTGTAGACAATGAGCCATTTATTAATGCAGGGGTAGGGAAGGAAAGGAACAACAAAGTAGGGTTTAAATATCTGGCCAGGGAGGCAACTATTCGACTCTTGGCCATCATTCAACCATAAGAGGTCAGTCTGAGCTGTCTGCATGGTAGATGAGGCAAGACGGACAGTAACTCTGGAGTTAGAAATATAAAGATATGTAGTCTTGCCAAAGTGCTTTTATTATGATTGTTTAGTGGTTCCGGTTTCTTTTCAGGTGCATGTATAAAAACAACCCATCATGATTTCAAGGCCCATAAAATGTGAAATTTTTCTTTATTATTCTAGTTTCAGTGCAGGTTCAGTGATCTTTTGTGGGAAACAGTTTTTCCTATTGTCATATTTCATATTGGCTGCAAGGTGTCTCTGTGGTTAGCACTGTCGCCTCGCAGCTAGAAGGTCGCCGGTTCGCGTCCTGGTGAGGACACCTGGGACCTTTTTCTCCATGTTCTCCCCGTGCAGCGTGGGTTCTCTCCAGGTTCTCCGGCTTCCTCCCAAAACATGCTGAGGTTAATTGTTGATTCTAAATGTGGATGGATGGATATTTCATAGGGAGCATCTCAGTCCTGTTCCTGGGGGTTTGGTTCTAACCCAAACAGCACTACATCAGAAACCATGGTTAACATTTAATACAGTTTATCAGGCCTGACTGCACAACTAGGACCACAACTAACACCTATTTTCACTGGCCATGAATATGTGAAATCCATCCATCCATCATCTCTACACCTTCATCCTCACCAGGGTCATGGGGGGCTGGAGCCTATCCCAGCTGACTCAGGGTGAAGGCAGGTTCACCTGGACAGGTAACCAGTCTATCACAGGGCTACACTTAGAGACAGACAACCAAGCACACTCACATTCACACCTACGGACAATTTACAATCACCAATTAACCTCAGCATGTTTCTGGACTGTGGGAGGAAGCCGGAGAACCCGGAGAGAACCCACGCTGCACGGGGAGAACATGGAGACTCCACGCAGAAAGATCCTGGATGTCCTCACCGGGACACGAACCGGCGACCTTCTAGCTGTGAGGCAGCAGTGCTAACCACTGAGCCACCTTGCAGTCCAATATGTGAAATAATTTCTCGATTAATCAATTTGTCGTTTGGTCAAAGAAATGTCTGAAAATGGTGAAAAAGAAGTCGATCAGTTCCTCCTGAGGCTCAGGATGACGTCCTAGAAATTCTTGTTTTGTTTACGACTCCTCAATTTACTGTCAAAGAGTAAAGAAACCAGAAAATATCCAAATTTATGAAGCTGGAATTAGAAAATCTACACTTTTTTCCCCTACATCCTTTACTCCATCCAATTAATCTGTTCAAATCAAAGTAGTTGCAATTAATTTCTTAGTTGACATCTAATGGATTAATCATTGCAGCTCTATCTATCCAACTGAGTCATGCACGTGTTGGACACTTGAAACCTGTTTAACCCTAAATGTAGGGCCCCTAATGGTGATAATGAAAGTTTAAAGTCCGGGTGTTATCTTGCAGACCAGGGTGGCAACCAGTTATTTACCCACGATGACCAACGATAGTGTCTTAATGTTAGTGCCGTACAGAGAATTGTTCATGGAGATCATTTGCAGGTGAAGCTTTGCTACATCCACTGGTACGATGGCAGGAGTTGTTTATTTATTTAGTCATGTTTTGCTACAAATTATGTTCTAACCAAGATGCCTTCATGGAACAATAGAGTTAAATCTGAGTTCCTTTAACAGTTTCTATTTGCTTTTATATTTTTAAACAGTTTCTTACATTTCTTTCTGTTTTTTTTGTGCCCTCCAGAGTTTGCTCCTTTGTCCAAAAAGCCCGACATGTGGAGGAGGCCGGGGGGAAAGCTGTGCTGATTGCAGATAACGCAGAGGACAATGACAGCCAGTACCTGGATATGGTGACTGATGGCAGCACTGCCAAGCCGAGCATCCCCGCTCTGTTCCTGCTGGGACGTGACGGGTACGACGGATGCACACACACGGCCACAAAAGTCATTCAGTCAACAGTCAGTCACACTTGTTTTACGTTTCAGGATGTTACTCATTTTCCTCTTTTTCCAGGATGATGATCAGAAGATCTCTGCAGAGACAAGCGCTGCCCTGGGCCGTCATTTCCATCCCTGTCAATGTTTCTGCTTTGGCCTCGTTCCCGCTCAAGCAGCCCCCGTGGACGCTTTGGTAGAAATCACTCACCCACGACTTCATCCACATCCATCCAAACAGTCTGTCGTCTTGTCAACTTAAAGCCACACGAGAAAAGTTAAACAAATCCACACGGACCGGCAGGGAATCGGTAAAATGAAATACATCACAGCTAAAGGTGCAAACCTCTCTAACTGCTGATGTAGGTGGAGGAAGGCGTTGAGGTTGGAAACACTGGTTTTCTGTGAGTGTATCTTGCAGGAGATCCGTCTCTAGGAGCTTGTTTTTAGATGATCTGTTCCTTAGTTGTAAAACTGTGAAATATTCTGCATTAATTTAACACACACAGATGTAAACCAGCCGTCTCTTCTGCCTTTTGAAATAGGACAAACTTTTGTGAAAGGAACTCATTTGAACAGACAGGCCGTGACGCTCCTGTTTTTCTGCATGAACTTGAACACGTTTGCACTCTAACGAGAAATGGATTCATTTTCTCATCATAAAATAAATAAATGAAATGAATTTTTGCACAAACTGCTGTCATACATTGCCTTTCTGAGTTAGACATCTGCGCTACTTTAAA